TTTTTTTTTTTATTTTTTTTCTCTCTCTCTTTTCTTTTTTTTTTTTTTTTTTTTTTTTTTTTGTGGTGAAGCTTTACCTAATTTCGTGCCAGATTTTTTGCACGGCAAATTGTATTCCTTTTAAAGTAAAAAATACTTAGTATTCCTATTTGTAATTAATCCACACAACATAAAATATTTTAATTAAATAGTGGACAATAAAGTAATATATTTTTTTAATATGGTCACTCTGTGGAAATGTTTGTATGATAACAATAATGCTTCATTTAGAAAATGTACAGGATCCTTGGATGAAACAGGTTACACACACACACACACACACACACACACACACACACACACACACACACACACACACACACACACACACACACACACACGTAGATACACATACACACTTTTATTAATGCAGTCACTTGCGGGTTCTGTCAGATGTATTCACAAGAAAACCCAGCAAGACAACAATACCGAGTTAAATGCATTATGCATACTATTCAAACAAATGATGGAAATTTGCACTTTCTGGGGTTCAGAGTAAAATCATCCATTTAAATGATTTAGAAGGCCCACATATGATGGTTGGCCTCGAGATGACCTTTGTTGTTCAATCACACTCATTTCACAGCAGATGAGCTGTGTTTCCTTAGTAATGGGGCACCGATGAGTAAATACAACATCACAGGAACTTTCTTTGAATGCAGTTTTTCCAACAACTGCCCAGAGTTCAAACCCCTACATGGAAGGACTGATGTCAAGTTCAAAAGGAGGATAAAATCCTTACCTCTTGTAGGAGCTGAACTGCATTAAAAGGTTAATTTATTCGTTTTGAGACTGGGGTTCAAAGGCACAGAAATGTTTACAGAACTTTTACAGGGAAATGATTTCAGAACAAAATGAAAAACAAAAGATAGATGCATTGGTTGATATAGTTTGTATATATATGCACATATGCCATCAGACTCATGGCTGGTGCTGTTTAGAAAATAAAAACACCATAAGTATTTAAACAAATATACTGTGGCACCATTAACATTAAGGATTGATAAGATTCAGTTTTGATAACTGATAATGAAAAAAAAACTGCTAGTGAATCACAATCATATGTGATAAGAACTTGTGTGTACAGACAAGTATAAATTTAACCCGTTTATTGGAATCCCTCCTATCACCAAACAACCAGAGAGTTTTTTTGTAACTACACCTCTGCTCAAGTTTGCATAATACTAAGGCTCTGAGGGCATTTTATGACGTGAATTAGTGGTAATTTGTGTTCAAGTTAGTCCTGGTCTGAACTGTAAGCTATATAAGATGTGCTGAGCAGTCACCCACCAATTTGTCAGGATATATCAGTTACTACTTAAAACTTGAGTATTGAAATATTGAACAATGGCATGTAGGCTTTGCTAAATACGTTTATTTATGTAGTGCAATACACAGTCCGACATATGCTTGGTAATTTTAAAATTTTAATATACCTCACCTATTGCAATAAATATTGAAGATTATTATTATTATTATTTTTTTTACTTAAAAAGAATTTCTCATTTGAACTTATCTCTGCTTGGGAATGGACTTTTTTTCTGATATCATTGACAAAACATTATTTTCGCAAAGAAATTAATCAGTTCTGTTCATATTTAGTTTAAAATTACCATAATTTCATGTTCAGTGCATGGTTATGCTGCAGGGATCATAATTGCCCATCCATTATTGGTTTTTTGGGGTCAGGTCCAGATTCATTCATGCCAAGTTTTTCATTTAAGCCTGGATTGGAGACTTGAGATCATTACTGACTATTAGGAGCAAGTTCATTTGAGTGAAATTGTGCAGAGTTGAGTCACGTCTGTCCCACTTTTCTTGGTTGTTGATGAAGTGCATCGATGAACTGGATGGCAACTTAAGTTGACTACTGAGGTTGGCATCTTTAAAAAAATCATTCAGCAGTGCAGTCAAATTATATTGGCATCACTTTCAACCTCTGCCCATATCCAGCTTGTGATGAAAGTTAAAATGGGTAGATCACCCTTATTGTATTGGATCCATGTGGGTTTAGTGCTTTCTTCCAGTATGCTATGAATTCACATACATAAAAAGCTGCAACATTGCATGAATAAGAAATATACTTGAAAGAATCCATGGTTGTATTCGTTATCAAAATCCTTTGATAAAATAGTCAACAGTCAGAAAACAAATGCCCAACCCTACCATTTAAGGCAAAGAAAACTTGACATAGCGCTGAAAATGTCAATAGGTTGTTCATAACAACTCTAAAAAACTGTATATTATTATGTAAAATCATGTTTACACTTATTTTACACAATAATATACAGTTTACACAATAATATACAGTTTTTTAGAGTTGTTCATAACAAGATTTTTTAAATTTTGTTTTAATAATCAATTTATTTATTAACATTTTTGTCAGTCTTAAACATGTTATCCATGTGTTACTAGTGTTACTAACATAGTTACATGCTGGTATGGAGAATTCAGTTACATGATGGGAAGCCCCACAATTTGTATCTGACATGCCCACTCAATAGACATGTCTAGACAATAAATGGACTTATGTAATACATGCCTAGTAATACATTCCAGACAATTTATTTGAAAGCCATTCAGTTGTTATAAATTTGTCAAGTTTTTGCATTAAGGCCATTGACAAAGCTAACACAGGATGTGAATAAAATTTGGAGACCCTGATGGCTTTTTAACAGACATCTATACATGTCTAAATATTAAAAACATTCTTATACAGAACTTTTACAGGGAAATGATTTCAGAACAAAATGAAAAACAAAATTGGTGGATAAAAATCATTGTGGTGAAGAATAATATCTGTTAGTTTTGTGTAGAATTACTGAGAAACTATTACACACACGCACACACGCATGCACATGCACACACACCTGTAGCATGCTTCTGTTTGTCAGAATTGTTAGGTCTAGACAGAGAGGACTTACACAATTATTGTCACACTGAAAAATAGCTCCAGATGTCAATCATGTGGCATCTGAAATAAGGGGAAAAGAGTTCAAGTATTGATCGCTTCCTGTGTCCATATGACCACTTATAAATAATTGTCTAAGCCAAAGTTTCTTTTCAAATTTAAGCATGAATTTCTAGTGTCTGTCCAAACAGATTATGCAGTGGGCCTATTTTTGACAGAGGTGTGAAATGGGCTCAGATGTAATATTTTTAAGTGTGCCATGTTCTTGAAAATTTCTCTTGTGTTAACAGTCATAAAAAAGGGCTTTGATTACTGTAAGTAATCAGGTTTAGAACAGAAATTAAGCCCATTTTGAAGATGTGACATGTCTCAAACTGCCCAACAAATGCCATGAAATGAGGCACAATTTAAGTTATATGTCTCCTTGTGTGTCTCTATTAAACATCAAATGATTAACAGGTGTGTAAACTGAGGTACCACTGGGTCTAGTTTCAGGAAAGAGCTCATTGACAAGTCAAAAAGTTAGAATTCAGGCCTGCTTAAATCCAGCTTAGATCTGTGATAGAGAAACAAAAAAGGCAACTACTAGTACTTTAAAGAAATTGGAATATTTTTTTTTTAATTTTGAAAAGATTAAAAGTCACAGATTATAAGCAGGGACCCCTCACAAAAGTTTGCTTGTCATGAAATAGCTTTGAGTTTGTTCTAAATTAGCATGCTGTCATGAATAACTTCATATTTTCACTTTGAACACATGAAGATTTTCTGCTACTAATGTTATAATCTGGTGAAATTAATTTTTGGAATATTTCTCAAGGTTCACCTAAACATTCATAAATAAAAAGAAATTTTAACAAAAAACTAATTCTGTTTCAGATGTAGACAGTGCAAGATACAGCCACACCCATGGCGTCAGTTGAAGAACAACTGCAGCAGGCTGCTGCTAGCGCCACCACGCCAATGGTGTCCACCACCAGCGTTGCCAGTAGCAACCAGCAAACCCCCACCAGTCACCACTCTATACTGACCACAGTGGACACACCCATGGGCCAAGAAAATGTTATTTTACTGACCACACCAACAACGGCCACTCCTACGCCAGTGGCGCTCCATGCTGGTGGCATGATGATCCCCTTCACGATAGCGGCACAGGGGGCTGGGGTAAGATTTTATGTTGTCCTGATAGGATTTTTTAGATAACATAAAATGTCAAAAACTTAAATTTTTTAATATACATATCTTGGAGAGGAAGAGCAACATTGATGATATTTTGTTAGATGCAAAGGATCACAATTTTTATAGCTGAGTTTTGTTTGTATTGAAAGAACAATGTCTCTCTCAACATCTGTAAATTATTCTAAAATTTGATAATGAATTAATTAACTGAAAACATTTTGTGAAGTGTTCATTTATTGGTTATTAACAGCATGATTTTTTTTCATATGAGTGCATATCTGTACATTTGACAGGACTGCTGTCTAATTACATAATATTTACAGCCTGATATTTAGAAGTCTTTTATCATGGATGATAATAACTTAGAAAAGTTGGAAAATGCTTACATTTAAACGTGTGAAATTAAGCAATTTGCATAACACAGTATATGTATAATATGACGAGAAATTTAATCTTAAAACCCTAGAAGTCATCTGCTAAAACTAATTTACGCATTAAGGACATGAACTTTGTATTAAAGGGATAATAACTCTTCATTGCGACCAAAAAATGAATTTTCCTGGAGTAAACAACAATTTTCCCATACTTACCAATGGTTAATGAATCCATTTTTACATTCATTGTTAGTCCCTGGTTTTTTTTCTAAAAAGTTTGGTTTTTTGTTAAAATCTCTTAAGAGATTTTAACATCTTAAGAGATTTTAACAGAGTATAGCCATCAATTGAGGTCACGTGATCTAAAGCCAAGTTCAGATATCAGAATAATAGCTATAACTGCCGTTTTTGTGGTAAAGCAGAATATGTTATATTTCTATGAGTTATTCACAATGTTTTTATTGTGAAATGTAGATCTCATACGAAGAGTTATTATCCCTTTAACTTTTTGGAGAAAAAATTGATGCCCTGACAATTAAGGTTGATTTCTGACATCAGGACAACATAAGAAAATTAGGGGAAATTTTAAAATGCATACTAATGCATGCCCAGCCAAAGAAAATAAACAAATAAATAAGTAAATAAAAGCCAACCTGTCCAGCAAATATACATGTTTTTACTAGTACTTGAAAATGAAATGAAAATGATGTTCAATCAAACAAGTGATTAAAGCAAGAGGGAATTTTTCTTTCATTTACTATTATTGTTTTATGGGGAAAAGGTTCAGAGGTCATTCTCTGCTTCTTCCATTTTGTTCCAGTCAATAATAGAGGATTTTTAGCATTGTATTATCAGCAATCCCTCCAACCCCCTCCCTTAAAATTGTTCTCTCTACAATTTGTGCCAAGGGAATCACATTTCTGTATTGTTTTACATGGCATGTGTCCATGTATGTCTTCAGCGATTGGGTTCAATTTGTCTGTCTATTTGCAGCCACTTTATCTATCAGGGCTTTCATTGGCTTTCTCTGTTGAGAAACCTCAGTTTGGGGCACGATGGGAAAGAGACTGCCCCAGGAGAACATGTATAATGTTGGTGTTGTTTAGTACCAACTGTGAAGTTATCAATAGGTCAATGCATGGTCCTGGCCATTATAGGGAACATGTATTACTAGGCTTGGCCATTACTTACATGTTACAACTTGTGACAGTGACTGAAAAAATTTATTTTGAAAGGCAGAATGATTTGTCATTATTTTTCTTGCCTATTTGGCCTTCACTGTAATAAAAAAATGAGTTTTTTAAATAAAAAATATGCTGTTTGATTGACCATGTTAGGTTTTTTTTTTAAATTGGAACAGGTTTTGGTTGTGCTGATAATGTATACCTGATTAACTAAGACAAATAAGCAAACTAGCATGAATCTGCATTCTTTTTAAATAACATCAAAGGTAATATTATAAAAAAAGGCTCTAGATCTGTCTGTGAAATTAATAAATGAAATTTTAAAAAGTCTAAAAATCTACTTTTAGTATGCCTTAAAGATGCATACAAAGTCAATTTTTTGTCACAAAAACCAACCAAATGCCAGCATATAGTTTCAAGTAGTATAACTAAGAGAATTACCAAAAGGCATTGTTTAATTTTACCCGAAAATGATGTTTGAACGGATTTTTCTGCTGGCATTCTAAGCTGTATGTCAATGGGGCAGGAAAGTAGATCACGAAAGTCGGTTAAATTTACAACCACAAATTTAAAGAAAGGAGCAGTCTAAAGGTCTTTTATGGCTGATCGAGTGATCTATTCAGTTTATCCCTTGGCATGTCGAATTTATTTGAGTCATATAAGAATCTAGTAGAAGTGGTTTACATGTGTTACTGGGAATCCACGCTCCACCGATGCTCGGTTCGTATGTACCTTTAAGTTACAGAAATAAAGTGAAGCAAATCTGCCATGCCAACACTAGCATATTTTTTTTTTCATTTTGAGCCAGTTAATTTTTTAAAAGAAACCAGTGACAAATAGGAGATCAAATAGCAAATATTTCCTATTTCTGTAGTGAAGATGAATCTGGCATTTGATGCAAACAGAGCCTGAACATCACTTTCAGCAACTTCAAAATGAGACTAGACTTTTGAAAGTCCATCGTGCTGTGAAGTTATCTCCGTAGCCTTAAATAATAACTAGTTATGTGGTTGACCTCTGGTTGACATTTCCAACATGGTGGATACAGGTCGCCCTCGGTCACGACTGCTGTCTTCCCTAACCAAAATCAATAAATAACAGACTGCTTTTACCATTGGATGACATACATGTTCCCTGGCCATGTCTCTGGATTTCTATTGAATTAAAAAAAAATTGGACCCCTTCTTTTTTAGTCACAGTATATTTTTATGGTAGTCGGTTGAGGTTGTTTTACATAATTGTTGACTAAGGAACTTCTAAAGTTGAGCCAATTGAAATCATGCTGTTTTTGATAAGTACTATAAGCAACATGCATAATAACATGTTTGCACTTGAAACGCCTGTTATTATGCCCTGTGTGTAAAAAAAATTAGCCTGGGCATGCTTTATCATGTGAAAATTTCATCATTTAAAAAATAATAATTTTGGCTCTGTATATGACTCCTTACAGTAAAATTGTCCAATTTTAGAAAATTTTTCAGCTGTAGCACTTGAGTTAAGTTTAAGACAACAAATACAAGCTACTTACATGGTATGTGGAAAGAAAATCTGTGGAAAAACTTGTAAGAATACTTAGCTGAAAACAGATACCAGTTATCCTAAGCACTGGTAACGGAATACTCATTTTGAAATCAGCAGTGCATGATGTAACTGTGTTATGGACAAATTACAGATGTAACTCTGTTGTGTAAAGATTTTTGTAAATGTACCTAATCACCGCTGCAGTGGAGTATTGTTTACAGTAAAGCTTCTCTTATGAGCCCAGCCCAGCCTAGGCGGGCCCTGTACTCTGTACATTTGATAACCTGATATAAGATAAACAATCATGTTTGTAGCTGTTACAGAATACTTGCCAACATGCCTTGACCTTTGCAGTGGGTGAACTCAAACTGTCTTCATTTTTAACTACACTGAGGTTCAAAAAGGTGCACTCCGCCAAGAGGTGATATATGGGGATGGCTCTCTAAGTAGATAGGGGGTCACGAGGGTGGATTGTGTTTTAATAGCACCCATATACTAGTAGAGGATTTGGAGAGTAGGATTTGTGCTGTTAAAAAAAGGCACAACATCCCAAAACATACCCCTGTGTGCAGAGAGAAAAAGAGAGAGAGAGGTGTGTATCTAAAACATCAGAGAAAAAAATGTCATTGACAGTAGCTAGCTCTATTTAGGTAGTTGTTGACAGTAAAATAGAAACGACATCTGCCCCTCCCTTCCACTTGTTGCCCCTCCCATTAATAACCAGTGTGTCAGTTTCATTTGTGATTGATACCTTGAAGCAGTAAGGTACTGCGGGCTGAGTTATGGATACCCCCCTTAAGCTTTTTATGCTCTGCCTTATCCCCTCACACAATATAGATTTAATATATATTTTATTTGGTAAAATATGACACATGGTCGACAGCACAGCAAGTTTTTAAACCTGTAATTGGAATCCTCTTGTCTGAATTAAAACCTTTTCGTTAACTATTTAAATTTTTTTTCTGTTTTTGTACATATTTTTTATATATGTTCATTTGCTTAAAGTTATATTATACAGCTCCCTTGATGTTTGATGAGAAATATAATGGGAATTGTGAATTTAGGGGGTGATTTGGAGACACCCAGTATGGAAAAAAAATTGAGATAAGATATAAAGATGATGACTAAAAATGATGTCCCTTATGAGAGATGTAATGTGCATGCGAGTGTGTGTATGTGTGTGTCAAACCCTTATGGAAGGTGGAGAAGAAATTCTTTTGATGTAATACATGGTTTTTACATTTGTTTCTCCCCTTTGATGTATGGAAGAGATCTACCTCCTCCCTCTCGTTGTCTTTTGTCCCAGCTTTTGTCTTATTCAACAGTTCCATCAGCATTCATGTTGCCCCCCTTCCCCTTCAAGTCTATCTGCCTTTTGACACTTGGCAAAGAAACTGATATTTGACTTAAAGAAGGGCTGTAGCTAGGAGCAAACATGATTTCTGACACTTGTGACCTATGCATTCACAGGTATTTACTTGTTTGCTGTTATTGATTTAACTTACTGACTTGCTCTTCGTGAGGTCAGGGAGTCGTGACAAGCTTCTGGTGGGGGTCCAATTAGAGCTATTGGTTTCTCTTTCCCTCATCTACAAGTTATGTGTTTAGGGTGCTTTTTAAAATATTTATTTATTTATTTATTTATTTATTTATTTATTTATTAGCAAGATTAGGGTTTAAGATGGACATGCAAAAACGGTTTCAAAGAATGAAATTGGAAGGAACCATTTACTTGTGTTGTAGTCACTTTTTACTCCACAATAAAACAGTGTAAATGTTATCTAGTTAGGATGAACAAGGAGCACTACGAATTAAAACCTTGAACAAGCCTTCTGGTGTACTCTTTATCAGTGAAACATGTTGTTTATTTCTTTTGCAAATTGTTGGGTACAACACTTTGTTTGAATCACATATTAGATTGTTCTTGTATTTCTAAAACCGGTCTTTGCCATTTCGTAAAAGGTCACTTTATAGAAGAAGTCAGGTCTAGCAATTGGTTTTATAAACTATTGCATTGATGATTATTAGCCTTTTAGTTTTTGAAGCGAGAAGAATTGGGAGTATTTACTGGCTTTAACTGAGCCATTAAGCCCTTATGACTCTCTAAATTTAAAATATCACTTTTGATTGCATGATTCATTGATTTTTACTGCTTTGTTGATGTTTGGGATATGTTCATGGATGAAAGAAAATATAAATTAGCACACCATTTGTGACTATGTATCACGTAAAAACCACCTTGCAGATAATAGACTATAATAATGGCAGTCCAAAAAAAGAAGAATACAAGACGTTAGCATAGTGTGCCATGCAGCTCATATTAACATTTCACCACAAACCATATTGCATCATCAGCTCAAGATTTGACTTCTGCGTTACAAATTAAATAAACCTTTGTGCCAAGTGCCCCAGTCTCGAAATGAAAACATTTGCAGACCCCCTCTTAAAATTCATCTGATTCAATTGAATATGACAACACTTTCAAAGAAATGACATTTAATATTTTTAATTGTTGATGGCTTTGGTAGAATTTGTCAAAGAAATATGTTTCAATGGATAGATTTGAAAATACTGTTTTTTTTTTTATTCTATTTTATTTTATTTCATTCATTTATTTATTTAGTTAGTTAGTTAGTTAGTTATTTTTGTAGGTTTTTGTTCGCAGGCAAACAGGCAGTAAATATAAGTTATTGGGGAGATTCCCCTTAGCACATCCTTTTCCTGTGTGTTTTTGTGTGATGTGGAAGGAAGAAGTAGGAGAGCTGAACCCCACCCTAACCCTACTCCAACATTTATTCTTTGGGCAAAGATATAAAATCATTTGAGCTTATCTTCTTTTTCCTGTCCATTGTTATGAAGTTGAGAAAAAAGATGATGAAAAGAACCATCTAGGTTTCCACAATTATGTCCTCTTTAATGCTATTGACATGGGCTGACCCTGTGTTACATTGTAGAATCATTAAACCCTGTTGCTTTCGCTAAGACCATTAGGTGTGCCACAATGGCAGGTGATTCAATTACGATGTGACAGTTAGCTGAAATGTCTTCGGTCATGACCCCATGGCGTTTTGGATAGGCCCAGTTTAGGGTTCCTCACCAGGGAATCGATGTCTGCTCAAGGGCGTGGTCAATATGGAAAAGTGCGTACAGTGTCCTTTTGGCATTTAAAGATTGCCACAAATGTGGATATTCATAAAGGATGACTTAATATGCAAGGGTTTGTACTCAGCATTGGTGTTATACCTTTTAGGGCAATGTGAATGTTGAGGTTGCCCCTAACATGGATATTGAAGAAGATCTGATTGATTTTCTGATGATACAAGGGGTCGTGCCCGTGTCAATCCCATTTTGCCAATTGGGATTTTTCTATCGCATGCAGGGTTGTTAATACCAGCATGCACCTACATGCACGAAATCCTTGTGTATGACCACTTTGTTGGTTCCTTCATTAAGTTAGCTTGGAAAAAAAGTATTCTTTGATGTAGACTATCACAGGGCATTTTTTTTCTCTGAGGAAAGGTATGGTTAAATGCATGGAAAATAATAGTGTTTTTTCCACAAAAAAATATTTTCTTTCATTTTTACTTTCTTGTTATGTTTTAAGTTTTGAGTATATGATACATAGTATATCATTATATGATTTCGTATTTTTGTCCTTGATGTGATAGTAAAAGTAAATAGTCTTCTTTTTATGTGTATCTAAAAACATGAAGTTCATGTTGTTGTTGAGATTACACAGTAGGATCAGATTGTGAAGCTGCAGCTTTGTTAGGGTAAGTTCAGAAGGACTCTGATATTATCTTACTTTGGTCCATTATTGATTATATATTATGTGCTCTTGTTAGAGAGATCAGGTGAAACATTCACAAAGTTCACCACCTGAGCTCAATGTAGTCTTTGAAAAAAAAATCGGGTGAATTATTTGTTGAGTTTAGTTCATTTACATAGGAAAAATTAAATATATGTGAACATTCTGTGAGTGGTATTCACATGGGCAAGTGTACACACAAAAAGGCAGATCAAATAATACATAAATAAGTATGAGAAAAGATACAAAAGTGTGAGAATTTCTCTTGCTGTTAATGGTTTTACCTGACTGAATATACCTTGTTCAAATGGCCTAACCTTTACATATTGTTACTAAATTGGCTAAGGCCATTGTCACCACTCATTAGTGATTGGATTGGGGGAGGAAATTATAACTGCCCTGTCCTTTACATTTACCTTCATCATCAGTGGAGAAAGAGGGAGCAACAGGGACAGGGTTCAGATCTTTTTATGGTTCATTATTTAAAATCCATATTAAGCCTTTTTTTTTTGTCCTGATATTTATATTCTTTTCATAAGCTTTCTTATTTAGGAAAGTCATTTCATTTAGAAAATCATGTAGGAATTTCAGAGTCAAAATTTAAGGTTATATTTTTAGAAATTAGTTTTTTCTGTTATTACAAGTAAATAAAAACTGGTGATTCTGGCTATCATTGGTAGTAAAATTGTACACAGACAAGACTATTTTAGTAGACACCCTCTCTCTCTCTGTCTCTCAAGACCTTTCCTTTAACTTCCTCTCTACAGTGCGGAATGGCAGGCTGGCAAAATATCAAAAAGCAACAAGTTCAATTGTTTGTAGCACAGGAAGGCCTCGTCTGCTGAAAGTTAGGCAACATCTGTGATGAAGCAATAGTGCCAATGCATAATACATGGCTGTCCGTATTGTGTGGAATGGCAGACCTAAATTTAGGTCTTGCCCTTTTGCCCTGATTGTATTGTTTTACCTCTGCTCAACCCATCCTCTCTGATGAACCAAATGATTGTTCTGGTATTACTGGGAGAACGGTGTTCCAAGATTGTTGTAGGAGTTCTGGTGACTTTTCATGAGTTTTCTGATTTTGTTTGGTGAAAGTGAAGCTGTTGTAAGTTGATTTTTTTGTTCTCTTGGTTTTGTACTCTTTCTGTGATATTTAAGGCTTAATTTTTTTTTTTTTGAAGAACATGATGTTGTGTTTTAATTTTCCAGAACTGTTTATGTTCTTGTTTTTTAATTCTTTTTGCATGCTCCTTATTTTAAATGACTTGAGGAATTACATTTAAAGACATCAGTGATTTGTTGTTACTTCTGATAACCTTTGTTACCCCATTAATCCAGTTAGGCCGTTTTCTCTGTCCTTATTAAAATTCATCATATATATATATATATATATATATAAATATATATGATGAATTTTAATAAGGACAGAGAAAACGGCCTAACTGGATTAATGGGGTAACAAAGGTTATCAGAAGTAACAACAAATCACTGATGTCTTTAAATGTAATTCCTCAAGTCATTTAAAATAAGGAGCATGCAAAAAGAATTAAAAAACAATATATATATGCTGTTACTTAATAAAAAACAATATATATATGCTGTTACTTAATAGTTAACACTTCATATTCTCCTGTCATGTAATGGCAAAGTTGATTTTTTTTTTCTTTTTGTATTGCATTTGCATTAATGATAGTAAGGATAAAAAGTATGCCTGACCATCTGCCTATGGGCACATTTATATCCCAAGGTTTGGAGAACAGGCACTCTGAAATGTTCTGGAATTTGGTCACCCATTTTCAGGGAGTCCAACTATAAAATAATATAACATCATCCCCTTAAAATTTCATAAGCTGTTCAGCCATCTTTGAAATTGTACGCAGTCTTTTGAGGCCAGAGGACATCCATATGACGACTGGACAGCTCTCTGGAAAAAGTTTTGGTCACCCGATAAAATTCTTCGGAACCCAGTTATTGACAATGAGCTGTACCATGCCCCCCCCCTCCTCTCTCTCTCTCTCTCTCTCTCTATCTCTCTCTCAAAGCTCATCCTACTTCAGCATTTTCAACACAGTGCACCCATCATACTTTTTAGAAACGCTCGCTCTGAGATTTAACATTACGTTGACCAATTTCAGACCTCGGCTGTCGCTACCACAAATGCCACTGGTCCCATCGCAGTCACTATGTTGACTCCTCAAGATCTAGCAACACGAATAAAGGATGTGGGGCAATTGGGGCAGATACCAATCACTTCTTTAAACAGCCTGGATCTGGCCAGTCGGTTAAAGGTAGGCGTTAACTGCACTGGACATAGGGGTGAAAGTTTGTGTGACCTGTGACCTATTATTTAAAAGTACATGTTACCTATTTTTCTAATTGTCTGAGAATTCAGTAATGAATTAAGAAAAATTCAGAAAAATGTTCATGCTATTGTCACATTGGGCTGAAATTTACGTCTTGCCCTGCTTCCAATCCAAAAAAAGTGATGTGCTTACTGAGAAAATGTTCTAGAAATTAAAGACAAGAAAAGGTTAAAAGGTAAATAACTTTTCAAGGACCCCAAGGGTTTCGCTGATCCTCTCTAACTTCTGTTTCACTTGAGCACCTGGAAAGTGTGTGTCATTGGTTCTGATTACTCGAGCAGTTTTCATTACTTAGCAAGCGTTGTCATTCTGCATATCGGATCATTTAAGCACTTAGTGTTGGGAGAGGGTACTGCCCGTAGCAGACAGTTGAAAAGTTCACGAGTTAAGTGAACTGCAATCAGCAAAAATGAAAGGTTCTTATTCATCAGTTGTGCCAAGTATTGAATAAGAGTCTTGCTGTTTTATCTGGCTGTTAGGCTTTCTGATTCACCAGGGATGCCCACATAATATTACTCAAATCACAGAAATCTGTTGTTTAAATGTAAGTTATAAACTGTAAAAGATAGAAAACATGCACGCAAGCATGTACATACATACCCACAGGCACACACAGAGAGAGAGAGAGAGAGAGAGAGAGAGAGAGAGAGAGAGAGAGAGAGAGTAAAAAATTATAATAAATTTAAATATTTAAGACGGTTCAATAGAAATTTGTAGAATATGAGTTAATGTATGGGGTACTTAAGGGGTCCTGGATTTGTAGTTCTGCCGTACATGAACCGATTGTTCTGATAGTGGTTTTGACTGTAAATATAAACCTAAAACTGTAGGGTTAGAAATAGTTTACAAATGTATAGTAGACATGTCTGCGTGCTGGGAGTTGAAAGAAACCCTGCTCTTTTTCTTTGAAAAAAAACTGTTGTAAGGATTAGAGTCATGAAATTGTATGTGAAGCACAGACAGAGTGCTTTGAATGAGTGGATTTGCCATTCAACTTAGTAACGAGTTCTGAACCTGACTTCTGCCATGAATAAGACAGAGGGTATGGTAATTACTCAGTTTTTTCAATTGGCAAAAATTATGATACTTTCAGATACATAATTCTATTATCAAAAAAAAAATTCTCTATAGTATTGGTAGTGATTTTTATTCACAGAATGAAATCATAGAGTAGCCTTCTTTTAAATTTCGTTGCTACCATTCAGTTTGAATGTTCTAATTTAAAGAAATCTTTAAAATACAGTATCTGTAAAATTCACAATTTTCCCACTTTTCAAAAGATAGAGTAATTACCATATGAGGTGAGAGGATATGAGCAGAGGTAGAAGGCGAACTTGAACTTCCTGTATGCAAACTGTTGCAATCTGGGCCTTTCAGTCAAAGGAATCCTCTACTGAGAGATTCAGGAGGGCCACAGTGAATGGAACTTGCCCCTGATAGTCCACTGCAGTTGATCATACAATCAAGTGAGATATTGCTGGATTAAGAAAAGAGTTGGGGTCAGTGACACATTAGTGAGTGTGGTGCAGCAGTGAATAAGAATTAATATGACTTATGCTTGCATTACTTTTTAAGAAGCCATTCCCAGCGCTTTGAGTTTCACCATTGTTGCAACTTGCTAAAACATTAGCCCCACCTCCTGTGGATTCTTGCATGTTTCCTGTTGTCATATACTAGTAATATCATGCAGTCCCTACAGCCTTGTTTAGGGGCGCATTCCCATAGATTTTAGATCGATCTATCCCTGTGGAGAGTCTCTCTAGATTACTGTCAGATAATCCGGCTTAAATGTCTATCCCACCTACTACAAGCTGTAAGGGGGTAATTAACTTTCATGCCTGCTGGGCTGATAGCTATTTAGTGTGAACCCCCAGGGAGTTAGGTCGATCTAGTTGAATCGATCTATCTCTGGGAATTGGGTCTAAGACTATCTCAGAGGATTTTCATTGTAACTGGTGGCAGACTGCATCGGAGACTCCTTTTCCTCAATGAAGGACCCTCTAAGGGTGCATTCAGATTCACACATCATACTAGCTGGGTCTGTCCAACTCTTTGGGGGGGTTATTTCTAAAGTGCAATCAGTGGAATCGGCTTAATCAGGATATAATCAGCACAGTAGTGAATTACTCCCTAGCTGCACAAGGAGGTGTGTCAGACAATTTAAGCTGATTCCACTGATTGCACTTCAGCGAGGATCCCCGGCAGAGTTGGACTGACCCAGTTTGTACAATGTGTGGATCTGAATGCGATCTCAGAGAGCCACAGCATGTTCTCAAGGATCAAGGGCAGACTGAGATGACCTTTAACTGACTGAGTTGGCTGCCTATTAACAATAGGTTAAAATCCATTAAGTTGAAATTATTGCAAAAGGAAATGGCCAGCAGTTGTTAATATAATTAGATTGGCATTATGTTCACAAGGTTTAATGAGTTGCTCATCTAATAGTAATCATATTGATGTGAAGGGTGATTACAAATTGTTCTGTACTTTGGATAGGAGTGGTTTGTAACCAGTAGGGAATTTTTGGAGAAAAAGTAAATTATTTGCTACTAGGCTGATGCTCCTAAAAAATTAATGAATAGGTAAATGAATAAAATAAATGGCTGAATCAATAAATACATAAATAGATAAATGGATGTATGGATTGATAAATGGATGGCTGGATAAATAAATAATGAATCATGATAATTGGATGAGACTTGTAAAAATTACTAACAAAAGTTCCTCTCCACTGAATGCTTATCTTTAGTGTACATAGTATCAAGGCATCATTTCAATGTAAATAACAATATATATAAATTGCATCTATATATTTTCCCACAATGAGCAAAAAGGAAGAAGGAAAAATACATACAAACTAACCTTACTAGTATCTATAAAGAAATATTATTTATCCTCATTCCAGGACCTGACTCCGCAGGCTCTGCAGCTGACCACGCCCGGCCTCCCCTCTCCCCAGCAGATGGAGGCCGGGTCCCCTGGGTCCACCCCCATCACCCCCATGACACCCCAGACACAGAAGATGTACTTTGAACAAAGATATGAGCCTTGCCTTGTGTGTGGAGATAAAGCTTCAGGTAAGGTGCTTGCATGAACTTGCTCGCACGCTTACACGTGTACAAACACACACATACCGACACACACACACACACAGAGAGACAGAGAGAGAGAGAGAGAGAGAGAGAGAGAGAGAGAGAGAGAGACCTGCATACATATGCAGACAGTCTGTTGCTTTGTGGAAAAAAAAAAAAAAAAAAAAAAAATTAATAACTATGAGTTATTACTGTAATTTGATGAATGATTTGTTAGAATGTATTGTTTTCTTTTCCAAGAAGAACAAAATAGAAGTAACAAAAATAGAACAATGAAGAAATATTTGATACCTGATGAACCATGTACCTCCTTTTAATTTGATCAGTTGATCACGCTTCTTACTCATTCAGCTCCAACTTGAATAGCATCCTGATCTGTTTTCACATTCTGACAAGAATATAGTTGTGAATCATTGCTTTTGTAATTGTACTAGTAGTTTCTTCATAGCAGAATGTCTACCTGAAGATGCTGTTTGAAAATTAAACATTTTTTTCTTTTCTGTGAAAAAAGTTTTTAAAGAAAATTCATGAACTGTCAAAATTGCTGGATAGCTGATATCCTGAAATTGATCTTAACCCTCACCCCCCCCCCCCCCACACACACACACACACACACACACACACACAACAGCCACCTCAATACATAATACTGTACACTTGATTTGGAGCACCATTAAATTGTTTAGATATTCTATAAAAAAAAATAGCAAAGTTAACATGTTTTGAAAATTTCCACAGGTTATCTAAGGTTTCTATTTGAAATGCATGCAAAAATTCTATTAGTTGAATATTATATTCACATTCCAGGTCGCCATTATGGCGTAATAAGCTGTGAAGGATGCAAAGGTTTCTTCAAGCGCAGTATACGGAAACAGCTGGGCTATGCATGTCGAGGAAGTCGAGATTGTCCAATCACAAAACACCATAGAAATCGGTGCCAGTACTGCCGCCTACAGAAGTGTCTTAGAGTTGGAATGCGATCAGAATGTAAGATAGCACTGATTTTATTTTTTATTATCTTATTTTTTAAATTTTTATCTATTTATTTATTTATTTATTTATTTATTTATTTATTTATTTATTTATTTATTTTTTCAATTTGCAGCAAGTTATTCTTGGGCTCTTACTGGCATCTATAAGTTTCACCTAGTATTGAAAAAATTCACTTTGGCCAATGAGATGAGTTCTTTCTAGACAGTTTTGTTACTTTATCATTCTTTGTTCAAATTTTTGAAACTTCTAAAAATTTTCAGCTTTGTGGCTAAAAAATACATGCCAGAATGAGCCTATCATTACCAAAAAAAAATTGACCTTATTGCAGTAAAGGGATCATCTTACGTGTTTTGATTTATTGCGCATCAAGATATTATCACTGTATGACATCTATTCCTTACACCTCTACCTGCTGGGTTCTACTCTGGTACTTCTCCACATTAAAGATCTATACATGTAACATTCTAAGTATGTAACATCCATAGAGACAACATGATGGCACTCACTATGAAGCAAGTTCAGTTGAAGCATATCTGTGATAATCTGTATATGGAAAGGGGTAGACTTTATTAAGAATTCGGTAAAATTAGTAATAATTAGTTTACTTTCTAGGATCATACTAATAAAAGTAGTAATAATAATAAAAATAGTAATAATAAATTAAAATCGAGCAGTTTTGGATGTTTTATGGAGAATTTTTGAGTTTATAATTGTTGCCCCAGCCCAATGATCATGAATTTGTAGACTGATTTTTTTATGCAAGAAGTCATTTTTGTCAAAATTAACCGTTCAATACCTTATTATATCTTAAGTCAGGCAATTATTAAAGAGCTTAATAAGATGTTATGCTGCTCTCTCATCCCTCTGAATGTCCTTCCCCATCCTCCCCCTAAGTCCCCCTATGGTTTGGATGGATCTTCATTCCTCCCATATAGCAACCATTACCTAGAAATTAAAATGAGTTGCTGTTTTTGATATGAAACCCCTACCTTTTTATTAATTAATTAATTAATTAATTAATTTATTTATTTATTTATTTATTTATTTTTTTTGTTAAACAGACATTCTGAATAGAAAATATATGCAGCCCAGTGACAGATTCCATAGCCCAACTTAATCTGTGTTAACTTCATATAATATTTATATATTGTTAGTAATAAAGCATAGATAGGGACCGGTGGTGTGTGAGATGAGATTCTCCCTGGATCAGTTTGCAAAACTTGGAATAAGTATTACAATGCAGTTCTTAGTAAAAGCTACACAATGAGCAGCAAAAGCTCGATTTTCTTGGAAATTTCAACATGTTCCTGTAATCACCCAAGGTATTACTATATCATATCCGAACCTGTTGAGATAATTATCATCAATAGATGGCACTGTTGTCAATGTAAGTGTTAGAACAAGGTGGTTATTCAGGGGGAAAGTGTTAAAACTTTTAGGAAAATGAATCTTTGCTGTATAAAGGTTAAATGTTCATTTAATGCCTTAAAATGATAAGAGCAGACTCTCAACTGTTGTCTTGTCACTACCATGGTAATTCTGCTTGGCATCAGTAAATTTGTAGCTGTGAGGAAAACAGCTTTATTTTCTGGAAACTGACAGATTGTAACTTACCAGTCTTAGCCACTTCTTTCATACCGAACCTAGATGTTTTATACATACGTATGCCACTCACTGCCGATTAATTTTGCTATCAATGAAATGAGTATAGTATAGTGCTACAATAGATTAATTTAGTTATTAGCCTGCTCTTGTTCTAAAAAGATTATAGCAATAGCAAACCTGAAGTTTTCCATTTTAGAAATTATAGTTGTATTAGTAGACAGCAATGTGGTTTTTATTCAACTTGGGAGAGATGGGACACTGTTTTGAGATTCATTTTAGTCGTTTGAGTGAGTGAGCGTAGTTATAACTTGCTTCTCTAGTGAACCAATGTCTCTCGCCAGCTGTTCAGCAAGAGAGAAAGCCGCCAGAGACGAGGGAAAAATCGCCTGGAAACATTGCCACGTCCACGCAGAAGATCTACATCAGGAAGGACTTTGGCAGCCCATCTGCAGCAGTTCCTACTTTTGTTACCACACCCAAGGTATTTAATTAATTAATCATCTAATGTATTTATTTATTTTTTTATATACAAACAACACAGAACAAAGCAGTCTTCTACAAAACTCCCTCAATGTTAAAGGGATAATAACTCTTCGTTTCAGCCAAAAAATGAATTTTCCTGGAGTAAACAACAATTTTCCCATACTTACTAATGGTTAATGAATCCATTTTTACATTCAAAGTTAGTCCCTGGTTTTTTTCTAAAAAGTTTGGTTTTTTGTTAAAATCTCTTAAGAGATTATAACAGAGTATAGCCTTCAATGGAGGTCACGTGGTCTAAAGACAAGCTCGGATATCAGAATAAGAGCTATAACTGCCGTTTTTGTGGTAAAAAAGAATGTATTATATTTCTGTGAGTTCTTCACAATGTTTTTATTGTGAAATATAGATCTCATACGAAGAGTTATTATCCCTTTAAGGATATTTAACTGTGCACTAATTAGTGAAGATTTATAAACACTGCTGACTTGATGTAATATTAAGACTCACCTATTTTGGGCACTTACAAAGTCTAAGAATGTGGCTTTCTAAGCAGAGATTCCCTGTCATCAACTCGCTAGCAAGTGCTTAATCTGTATACTGAATAGAATAGAAGTTGCTCCAAATGATGGTAATAAATGTACAATTAAATAGACAATAAATAGACAGTCATTTTGTAATAAGCTGGTCTTTTCACTGTTGCATTGTAGGGTAAAGTTGGGGAGAACTTACTTGCCAACATGCAGGAGCGGTTGGTTCAGACTGACCAAGGAGTGGCAGTGATCAGCCCGCAGGTGCTTGGGGTGTCCGCATCAAATGCAGGTAATACTGATTGGGTCGGAGTGACCTATAGATCGATTGTGTCAGAGTGACCGCTGGCTTGATTAGGTCAGAGTGATCTCCAGACTGTTTGTGTCAGAGTGACCGCTGGCCTGATTGGGTCAGAGTGACCGCTGGCCTCAGGTCAGAATGACTGCGAGACTGATTGTGTCAGAGTGACCACTGGTCTGATTGGGTCAGGGTGACCTTCAGACTGATTGTGTAAGAGTGACTGCAAGCCTGATTGGGTCAGAGCAACCTCTAGACTGATTGTCAGAGTGACTGCCAGCTTGATTGGGTCAAGAGTTAACTGATTTGTTAATTTATCCCTTTCCTGCTTAAATTCCAGTTCAGGAGCAAAGCTCTAGCATATATCACGTATGACTCTGTAGCTTATATATATGGCACTTAATTTTAATATTCAACCTAATACAATCAATTGTATGCATCACACCATGTTTTGTCTATAATTATTAAGTTGAAACTACACACATGCCTTGTTTCCAGACCTCAGCACACTGGCTAGTGTGGTCACCACCTTGGCGACCATGGGCAAGGAGAAGGAAGACGAGAACAACTCGGAACTTAATGTTCCCATGGCAACACCAAATGGTGACACCGGTGATGGGAATGACTCTGTAGCCAAGGCGTTTGACACCCTGGCCAAGGCCATCCAGCAGGCCCCCATGGTGAACTCTACAGATAATTTGGTAGGTAATAGGTTGGCCATAAATGAAGTGTATGTGATGTAGGAGCACAAGTAGATGTTATGTATGTTTTGTAAGCAAGTGGTGTATCTCATTTATAACATGGTGAATATATGAAGAATAAGACACAGTTGTGGTGTAGCTGGCATTCATTTGTGCCATTTATCCCTTCATGGGAACACATTCTTAGGTAAATCTATTTCAAAGATTTCAAATAATCTCTATGCTTTAACTAAAAAAAAATTAGCTTTAACTAAAAAAGCTTTAATTTGGTATTAACAGCTTATAGACCAGCTCAAGTGGAGCTCAGGGTTTTCTTTTGATTCAAGTTTGGGCAACTGTTACTATAACAATACAAAACCAATGCATGATAATTCAATTTTTTAATAAAAACAACAATGATTGTTAAACTGAAGAAATACTATTGTGCAAAAAAAAAAAATTAATTACTCTACCCAGTTTTAATTGTTTTTTCACAGGTTGGTAGCAGTGAGCATAGTAATAATGACAGCTTAGAAGGTAAGTTAAATGACGATTAAATAACGTTATGCAAAAATATCAGTTTTTATTATGATACTTTTCTGCAAATAATGATTGTGGCAAGATATAAAAAAGTTAAATTAAGCTCACAGGTTAGATATAACTCAGAAAGATCTGTTAAACAGTAATACAACAGTGAACATCATGTCTTAGAATGGTGAAAATTTAAATAAATAAAATTAAATTTTGATATTAAATATCAAGTTATAAATTATTTATTTGTTTGTTTGTTCGCCTTCCTGCCTGTCTGTCTAATCTGTTTGAGAATATATTTATTGTAGGACCTATTTTGATGGATAACAACTTCCAGTTCAACCTTACGACTCCGTCCCCCATGCCCACCTATCTGAATGTGCACTACATCTGCGAGAGCGCATCACGTTTGCTCTTCTTGTCCATGCATTGGGCAAAGGCTGTGCCCGCATTTGCAGCTTTAAGGTAAGTACCATGTCATTTAGAGGATTTATGATATATACACTTTGTTTCAGAGCTAAAGCCTATATTTCAGGTGCAGTTTACAGTATATATACTCTTTTGAATGTGCTCAAAATCTGCTTATTATTAAGAACCTTATGTTTTATGTCTTTGTCCTACATTGGGAGAATGTTGTGGCAGCTTTTACAGCATTATGGGAAGTGATATGTTTTAGTAAGGGATTCAGATATGCTCCAAGGCTGTGAAGGGATTCTGATCTTGTCCAGCAGTGGGCAAAACTTGTGTCAGCTTTTGCAGCATTATATTTGAATCTGAATTCCACTTACTAGGCTGTGACTGTGCATTATGCTTATTGTCATGGAACAGCAGAAGGATATTTTTAATGCATTATGATTTGGTATAATTAAAAAGTGATGATACTGAAAGAATATATTTTAAATACAAGTGCTTGATGGTGAGATTTAATACTGAGAATTCTAATTTAAAAAAAAGCAGTAAAAGAGTCAATTCGACTCAAATTTCTAAAAAACAAAAACTTGTTTTCTGAAGTTTATATATTTTCTGCTTGAGCCCAGGCGGGCAAAATATTAATCTCTTCTTTTTGATGTTGGGGATCAAGGTAGTTTGCCTTAGAAAATGTGCAGAAATTCACTTTCACAGTTTCTCTTTATGAAGCCATTTTTGATAATTTAGTAATTACGCACAATTTCTTTTTCAGCCCAGACATTCAGAATGTCATTGTGCGTTCGTGCTGGAGTGAGTTGTTTACACTTGGCCTGGCGCAGTGTGCCCACGTGATGGCCCTATCCACCATACTGACGGCCATAGTTAGTCACTTACAGACCAGAGTACAGCAAGGTATAGTTTATATTGTATAGCTACTATATTGACTGCCAATATTTTTTCCAGTATTTTATGGTGAGGGTCTGTACTCTTGGATATAGGGATAAGGGAATGTGAATAACTCTTAGTTTATCTCCTGTAGTGTGAATTTATCACGGATGCATTTCTATATACACACGCTGGACCATACAGTAGTGCAGAGGACAACATAAAAGCAGAGTCAGACACAAGCACACTCACACGTGTGCTCACACATGTGCATACACATACATACACACATGGCATACATTATTGTCACGAAAAAAAAAAACATTCAGTAGAAGGAATTTTTTAGCACAAGTCATTTGTACTTCCAGACAAGCTTGCTGCAGACCATGTGAAGGCAGTCTCAGAACACATCATGAAGCTACAGATGTATGTCCAGGTGTTACAGGGCATGCAGGTGGACGCTGAGGAGTATGCCTATCTCAAGGCACTGGTGCTCTTTAACACAGGTAACACACCAGCTTGGAATGGGGAGGGGGGGGATGGATAAAAGTACAGGATATAATATATGTCAATGGGTGAAGGGAGTAGATGGGTGGAGATGGATAAAAATACAGGATATAATATATGTTGATGGGTGAAGGGAGTAGATGGGTGGAGATGGATAAAAATACAGGATATAATATATCTTGATGGGTGAAGGGAGTAGATGGGTGGGGATGGATAAAAGTACAGGATATAATATATCTTGATGGGTGAAGGGGGTAGATGGGTGGGGATGGATAAATGGGGTGATTTCAGGATCAGTACCTTGTTGTGGATGAATGGGTGGGTGAAGTCAGGAAAGATGGGTTAAGGGATGGGTGGACAGACAAATAGAATTGGGGGCAGGGGCTGAGAGAGAGAGGTTGTGGAGTTTCTTAGTGTTAGATTTGGAAAAAAATTAAAACTTGAATGAGAAGGCAGCATTTATCAGAATACAAAGTTAGTGTAGTGTAACTGCTATAGGTGTGCCACAAAGGCAAGTATGTTGAAGTAATGATTGCTATATAGCTATGATGAATTCAATATGAATTGTTTCACTTGTGACTACAACATACCCTGTATTTTTATCCCAGTTTGTTACTTTGAAATCCCCCTTAGGATGCCTGATATTTGATGTAACCAGCATTGGTTTGTAAATTTGACAGCTTTGCTGCTTTGTATTTAATGCCCACTTTTCCTTCTAAATTCCCATGTCAATTCTTTGTACTCTTCCAGACAGTCCCAGTTTGTCTCACCAACAGTTCCGCCAAGTGGAGAAGGTGCAAGAAAAAGTCTACCACGAATTAGAGGCATACGAAGAGGCCAAGTCCCAATCAAACTCACACAGAGACCGGTACTCCAAGTTATTATTGAGGCTCCCAGCCCTGCGCTCCTTGAGCCCCAGCATCATGGAGGAACTGTTCTTTGCTGGTTTGATCGGTAGTGTACAGATAGATAGTATAATTCCGTACATACTCCGCATGGAGACGACGGAGTACCATGGACCCGGTGTGGCAGCGGCAGCCTCTGTGGCAGCCTCCGTTGGCGTGACGTCCTCCCCCGGACCACAGGAAGTGGTCACTGCAATACCCACGGACGGTCAGCAGCAACATATGTATACAACGTCCACTGGGCAGCAAGTCATGGTCACTGGTGGTCAGCAGTATGCTACAGCTGTTTCTATGGATACATAAGGTGCCATGGTAACAGTTTCTATGGATACCCAAGGTGCCATGGTAACAGTAAGCCTGCTACTTTGGATACTGAAGGGAAACCATAAATGACTTGCCCAGTAACGTGGCTAACTGTAGTTCTGTATACTTGCTACTATAGAGAATGAAAAATATAGATAACTGTCCATTTGCTGTAATGGGCACATCTGAAAGCTTGTTACCATGGAAATGTAAGTTTTGTAATAGTGGATATATATAAGACAATGAAGAAGATAAAACAGACTAATGGCAAATGAATGTCAACCTATTTTTACCATATTGTTAAAACTTTCATTCACAATTCAGAATACAACTGCCTGGTTGTATTTTCACAATTTATGCCATTTGAAAAGATTCAATTATCAAATCATTCATTAGCAAGTTCCAGTATAAAAGAAGCCTAAATGCTTTAATTGATGTGCTAACCTGGCAGTTGCCTGGGATATTTTGAACAGATTATGCGATTGCTTGGCATTGTGAATGCTAATACTTGCTGTAAAAAAAAAAAGGGGTGTAGTATAATTTGCATCAAGTTTGCATGATCTTTTATGGAGGCAGTCTTAGCGATCTCTTCAAGCAGAATACAAGGTATTTTATGTTTTGCCCTTGTTTTTGTTAGTTGATTGATTTTTACTATTTATCATAGTACTGGTGAAAAAGAGAATGTTGTATTTAATGCAAGATCCGTGCATGTTTTTTATTGTCAATTTATTTGTGCTGTATAGAGGCCCTAGGCCTAGAAAATTGTGTAGATATTTTTATCGGCAAGTTTTCCTTTTGATTTTTTTAAATAATGTATTATCCTAACAAAGTGTATATTAAATGTGCTGTATTATAGTTCCATATTTCTCTATTGCGATTTAGAATAATGGCAGAACAAGGAAAGTTGTCCCTAAGATGCGCAAGGGGACGGGACCAAGTTGAATAGTAATATTATGATCTATTTCTGATACACTTAGTTTGCCAATTCTCTTCTTCTTATTATTATCAGTGGAACAGTATGGAATTGCTTTTGTTCTATAGCACGGTGATTTTTAGAATATATTTTATCATTCATGTTTTGTAACTTTGTCCCCCGTTTCCCTTACTGTGTTTCTACTTTGTAATGCAGATACCAAATAAGTGGGGAGGACAAGATAATGCTTCGGTCGCATTTTCAGCCAAGTTGGGATGGCTTATCTTACAACAGCTTAACTCAGTTTTTTGTATAATTGTGATTTCTTACCATAACAACAGCTTGGCATGGAACACAACTTAACCAAATCACAAAAGCATCAATGGGTTCAATTAATTCCCAATTAAACTGTCTTCCGTGTAGTTCAATCTAATTAAGCAGGGCCTTGCTAATTGCAATCAGATGAAGAGATTTGCATCCCTCCTCCTGACATTGTCTAGCATACAGGTGATTATACAAGTAGGTTGAAAGCAAGAGGGGGCGCGTTAATCTGTTAAACTGATTGCATTCAGCCAGAATACCTGCCGAGTTGGATCTACTTTTATAAGATGATAGTTTCATTGAAAATGTGCCCAGCGAGACAACAGAGGGATTAGATTGGCTTCAAATTCTAAGCTTAGGCAGCGTTTTATTAAGTTAAGTTCTTAAACTCGGCTGTTGATGTTGCTATGGACACTCTTGTTAGGTGCAGGTCATCTTTTAATGTGCCACCAGTTCAAGGTATTTGTAGAATGAGGAATACAATAAATATATAAACTGTATTTTAAGATATGTACACACTAGAATTCATCACTTTTGGTGGCTTATTATTGTGATTTCCTAACCATATCAGTAACTTGGCGTTGGAGCTAGGGCCCGTAGGGGCTTTATTTCAAATACAGTGGCAGCGGAGTTGACATGAAGGAGATCTGATTGCCTCTTTGTGGTTAGAAATTATAACTGTTATACAGTTTCTGGTCCTTTTTATTGCCATCACAGAATCAGATATGTTTATGAAAATTTGTACAAATTAGGTAAGAAGAACCCACTTCAAGATATCCACCCAAACATGACCACTTTCTTTGTAATCATACCTTGGAACTCTCTGAAAAGTAACAAAAACAACCCCCATGCTTGTTATTTTATCAAACCTGTAAGAATTTTACTGAATTGGATTAAATGGCCAGTCATGATTAAGCTTGTAGAATGGAGTCGTTTGTCACTGTGAAAGGGAATATACCATAACTTTTTCTTATTTTGTGTAAAACAGACAGTCCTTTCTGGGTTGTTAGGTGGTTCTTGTTGACAGCATTATACAACTCGGTATATGTTGTTCAAGCAGCAACTGACATTAAACACGACCTATCTCATCAACTTTGTCCCAAGTTTACTGAATTTTAGTAACCTTTGGTCAGTTTTACAAATAAACTTTAGCATAAAAATTGTTCTCAACTTCAAGACAAAAATGTTGGATTTTCTCTGTGCAGAAGTCCACTTAATAATAGCTAGTTTTGGTTTTAAAAACGAGCCAGATCTTTTTTGTTATAAAACGGGACTAAAGGATTAATTAATGGAACTGTACTTGGGTTGAGACAAAAATTTTGGTCTAAAAAGTGAGACTGGCCCTTATAAGGTACAAGAAATGTTTTTGTCATTATTGTGTGGTAGATGATGTCACTTCTTTAAATATTGAATGTGTAAAGAGCTAGCTTCCCCTAGTTGTATCAAGGATTTTTACAGTTACAGGTAATGTAATGCAATTCTCAATTTGTAAGAAATTAATTATCTTATAAGATGGTGTATAAACATAGGAGTGTTATCATAAGCATATATATAACATATAATGTTAAGGTTTTGCTTGTCGTCAATTTAATTGCAACTGTCATTTAATGACACTGAATAATGGTAGGATTTTGTATCTTGTAAAAAGAAAATAGAAGAGACCATGATCATGAGTCTGTGTTTCCACCTCAACTGTGTTTTCTCTCTTCAAAAAGTTAAAATTTTGCTTAAAGGAGTCATGATTAAAGGAAGATAGGGTTAAGTTGATTCCTTGGAGTTTCATTTGCGTCTCTCTCACTCTGTTTCTCATTTGGCATGTCTCTGTTTGGCAAAAGAACTTATGGAGTAGAAAGTTAGTCTGAACTTTGAGAATGAAATTGCTGTTTTATTTTTTGCAGGATTTTATCTGAATGCAAAAGTAAGCAATCCTGTACAATTTCATTTTATAAAACTAGACCAATAGCTTCTTTTTAGGCGTACTATTAATGCTTGATCCTAAGCTGGTCAAAACAGTAATTTTTTTTTTTCTTTTTTTTTTTTTTTTTTTTTGCTCTTGAAATTAAAAAAAAAATTGAGCATAGTTCTTATCAAGTAAGGCCCACGAGCATAGATGTTCGATTCAGTTCAGTGTCTCCAGAAAATGACCTTGAAATATTTTTGACTATATAGTAAGAAATTATCAACATCATGTATTTCTTGTCCCTTGGAGCAAAACATTATTGAGGCGGTGCCTTGTGTGGTTTATTTGATGATGACTCTGCCGAAATAGGAAAGATAACAGTGTAATAAATAGTGTTAACAATATCATGCGATAAATGTAAAAAATAAATAAAATCGCAATATGTCAATGGTACAGTGATGCCAAGAGAGAAGCACTTGAAGTGCTCTTTAAATTTATTGCTTATGATACATGCAGGGTGGCAAGTTCACATTTTTGGAGATATTTCTATTTTTCCCTTGAAGAAAAAATAGCAATTTTTTGTGTCATTTCATGTGGATAATAGAAAATACAATAATCTAGAGTTTGTGGATACCTTGAACTGTTTATAGAATTTCTAAATACTTGGGCGTAAGCTATAGTATGCATTATCTGGCTAAAGTGGAACACTTCTTGTTGCAATAAGATTGTGAGGTGCACTACAAGTAAATGAACACAGTTAGTGGACAGTGATGGCTTCAGGGGTGTTTATAGGATATCTTTGCAGTAGAATAATTCCTATTTTTGTTATACTTTAGCAACAAAATTTCTATTTTCTCCATTTTTCTGAATTCTTTATTTCCTTCTTTCTGAAGGTCTGTTTTAATTTGACACCCTGCATTTGTTTTTAAGCTGATTTTAAATCTCTTGGATGATGGGTTCTTTGGCATTTTTTGCTTGCATCAATGTAAAATTATTTATTAAGGAAAATCTTTGATTACTGGTTGAATGGCCCTGCTCTGTTTTATTGTTGGAATAATTCATTGGTTTAGAAGGTGTAGTTTGTAACAGAAATAGCTGTTGTAAGGTTCATTTTACATTTGTCTTTGATGGTCAGTGGCTGTTCTGAAGTAAAAAATCTGCATCTATTATGCTAAATATATTAATAGATGATAACTGCTTTTTATGGGAAAATATACTATTACTGTTTTTTTATTTTATATTTAGTTATCATTTTTCATTTATTTATTTATTTATTTATTTATTTATTTATTTATTTATTTATTTATTTCATTTTAAAATTAATTTCCACCAACCAGCTCATTAATTTTCATCACATTAAAATGTGAAAAGAGAGGGTTGGGGTGTTCAAAGACAACTCGCACTTTGTGAGCCTGTACTGTATTTACATAGTGTGTTATTTGTGATGCTCGTTTATTAACTGGAGGAAAACAACATTGGTCCCTGATTGTGATAAATGGAGGAAAAGAAAGTCTTATAGATTTATTGTAACGGAATTGGCAGCATCTACGTGGAGTAATAATTATTATAATAATAGTGATGAAGATAATTGATATTATGATTATAAACAAATTTGGAACCATATGCAGAGTTCTTTTATCATTGTTGTTTTTTTACAGGTTTTTTTACATGTTTTTGATTTTTCAATTTTCACTCAATTTTATTTTATTTTATTTATATTTTTTTTATCATTTACTTAATAATTGAAATTTTTTCTTACTCTAGATACAGAGAAATGCTCTCTTTGGTAAAAGAAGTTCAACAATCAGAATAATTACGATCATTTTCACGTAATAAGTAACTACTTTTTGTAGTATTTCTCTAAAATTTTTGTATTCAATTTGGTTGCCTTATCAGTGCAAAACCACGTTAATTTTATAACTTAACTGGGTAGTTTATTGTTGTAAAAGTTTTGATCAAATTTGAAAATTGGCAAAGATTAATGTCAAGATATTAATAACTAGAGGATCAGTTATTTTACCACGTGGTCCAGTGAGATTAAGTTCAAAAGTAATTCGAATTCCAAATTAAGACTCCCAATATGATTTCCTATTAATTAACAAATAAATAGAATTAGAAGGTGAAAAGAATACCATTCAAAAGAAAATTCCAGAAAAAAAAAAGATATCAGAATAGACCGGCAAACACAACATCGCTACGTCACGGTGGACCTATTTCATATACATTATCCACTCGACAACACAATCAAAAACGATATCAGCATTTTACAATTAAACACAATTTGTAATGCAGAATAAAGATTAAATAAAAACTGACGGAGAACCAAAAAAACATCAAAAATGTTTTTGAACCTTGATCTATTCCCCGTCATCATAAAAACGTGCCCTTCTCGTTTCACTTCTACAAGGTTCTATAGTTCGTTTTCAAGCAGCTGTGTATAGGGTTTCGATAAACTACTTAACGTGAACATGAAATGTCAAATCTCACAAATGCGCTTTATTTCTCAAAGATGGTTTCTTTCCCACATGCATTAAAACTTTTATGTTATCAAAATTCTCAACATGCGCCCTTTGTAGTAATAAGAGATCTTTGAAGGCAGAGGTTGATTCCATTTTATCATTCATGATTCACAATTCTTGAAAAATTACAATGATAATTGAATTCCACAAAAATTAATTAATCAGCGATGACTGATTGTAATTCACATTTTGGCCAAATACTATGACAATTTATTTCACATGAGAACAGGACAAGGCATTCAAAGGAGTTGGAAACAAAAATCAGAGAAAAACGAAAGCAACAGAGTGATCGGCATAATGTCTTGTGTTATTGGTCCTTTCTTCTGTGCCAACAAGGACTAGTTTGGACAGCAGACTGCCCACATGTCAGTCGGATGGATGTCACACCAGTGGTCATCCGGGCAGCCAGCACATCCTCGACCACAGCAGTAGCCGGAGAGGGGCCCTCTTGGGTCGCCATTACATTTTTGGGTCTTCGACTTTGAGGAGGAAATGACTGAAAGAAAAACGTGTTTTGAATGCAGGTGCTAATGATAAATTTTGATTGGTTTTGTCTCGTTTGTTAGTTTTTTATTTTCATTTATTGAGAGAGAGAGAGAGAGAGAGAGAGAGAGAGACCAAAGGAATTCTCATGAAGATGGTGAATACTTTACTTACCGCTACTCGTGACCAGTAAAACTGCCAGCACCAAACAACAGGATAGTCGCGCGGACACCATCTCGTCTCAAATTATGACTGCCATGATATTAAAGTAAATCATAAATCATTATATAAACTATATAAATTATGAAATAAAAACACCCATCTCCTGTGTTTACAGCATTCACAAACCCCACAAAGTTTTACAAGAGCAACATATCTTGATTTTGAGACTACCGGGAGTACGACGGTTTGGTTACAGAATGGTGACAGAACGCTCGAGTCATACCAGAGAGGGATCTGTCAGGGTGGCAGTTTTCTATCAAAACAACCTACCAGCACCTAAGTAGTATTTCATGAATTCGAAAACCAGTTTAACAATTCTAAATTGTAAATTCATCTCCATGATATACATAATTATTCATTTTAAAACTGCAACCAAATAGCTGACGTTTTGCATTGATCAAAGGGCATATGGGAATTTTACTAAAAATATAATTTGTTTACGTACCAAAATGCCCACATGCATACAATACCAATGTAGGTATTTTTCGAGAGAATTATTATTAAAATATAAAGCTATCAATATTCGAGAGAATATCATCTCGCCTTCGAGTAAGGCTCACTTTTACACACTGGGAAAAAATTGGCAACATGTAAAGATGTGTATAAAACTTACTTATCTGAACCTAAAAAACCTTACTTATCTGGACCAAACTGTCCAGTATTTTGAGATGTTCCTAATCAGCGGGGTGACTAAGAGCATACTGTCATATACTGAACATCTATATATAATACTGTCAATACTTGAGGATTTAAGCAACCTTCGTTCCTAGGCTAACTGTATTTACAAAATACTAGCAAAGCCAAGTTTCCTTAGTTCCAATATCGTTTCAGTCGGTAGATTCTAGAAAACTAAATGCAAATTTATGAAAAAAATATCAAGTTACCTTGGTTTCTAGACTTTCTAAGTATCGTTTATATTCTGTGTCAAATTCACGCGTTTTCCAGCCTTGGTATCTCTAGTACTAGTCTTATAAAAGCCTCTGGCTCTTGGTTGAAGTACCCAGAATTTCAAACAGCGGTCGGTATATATAGGGTTTCTTGGTAAACAATCCAGGTAATAAGAGTAAATTGGATTTATCATTGAAACAATTGTCCAGGAAAGGAATCAATCTCACATCCGTTCAAATTCGACAACTTCAGTGGGCACATAGTAATTATGTGGACTCGTAAAGTCAACCATTATAAGTAAATAACATTGTTCTAGATGAAGCATATTCATATTATAAGGATACTTTATGCATTTAAAAGTATGATCATATCAGGCGAAACGCGACAAAACAATGGTACAGTATTTTCCATATCTTGTGTCGTATAGTAAATGTATGTGGGACTTATGTCAGATGTATTTTATCTTGGCGGGCGAACACGGCAAAAACATATCATCCTTGTCCCCTCCCCCTTTTCCTGCCCTTTGAAAAATCCCGGAACCCACTTTATAGTAATTAGCTAGATCCCAGGATGTTTACGTGTAAGTGGCCCTTTATCATAATCACAGAGCTAATATCCTATTGCATATAAGGGAAATCATGGGACCTCCTAAATTACAAAACTGATTTGGCGATTAAAAGAGAGAAAGGACAAGACTGCTATAGCAAATTTTGTAAATAAGGTGATTTTAAAACACGTGTGATAAGCGGCTAATATAAGGAGTCCTATCCACTTACCTGTACCATCTTTAATGTATGTGGTATAACATTGTATTTTTACTACTAGTAGTTACGGAGGCATTAAATGTAAAACATTCCTGTGCTCTATAAAATTATTATTATTTTATTAAAGGGCGCATTCAGCCCCCTCTGCTGAAAAGAGAAAGTTCGTGGTTGGACCAGCAGAAATCTTGGTTCACATTTGGACAAATGGAATGGGCCGTTTCATTTGTCCAAGGTTCATGCAAATACAAATTGCACCAGTTAACAAGGGACAGGAAAGTTAAGGGGAAGTCCCCATTTGATATCTCATCATTATTTCATCATAACTTCAAAAAGACTGACCGACGAATTACATCAAAGCCACTTACAAAATTGGCCCTCAAATTAACCACTTATTATCTGACGTTCATCACAATTACACTTTATCATCGAATGTTTAATTTGAAATTTTAACAAAAGCCAAAAGTCGACTCATCGAAATGATAGACGGTCATCGCATCGCCTACATTACTTGTTTTCAGAGTCATCTAAGGTTTGTAATATAATGAATAAATTTATACGTTGACATCTTACCTGAAAGACGTATTACGTGTAAAGTGAATAAACTGTTCTACGGGACCAGCCACGTGACTGGAATAGTGCATGTCCTGCGTGTTGAGCTTTTAACAGTTGTTTTGAATCCCAGTGTCCACAAGAGCTCATTCCCACTGAAACTATCGGTCTACGTACATCGATCTAACTCCGCGGGGACTCTAACTCTTTCTGCCAGCGTACTTGTATAATCATCAGCTTTACTTTACTCAACGCCAGTAGGAGGCACGTGAATCTCTTTATCTGATTGCGTTCAGCGAGGGTCCCCGTGAAGTTGGATCGATCTACGTAGACCTATAGTTCCATTGGGAATGGACCCTTAGACGCACCCCGTGTCTCACAATTCACTGGGAATAGCTCATTTTTAGCATGCATTATGGAGGCAATTTCCACTGACTTCAGAAACTCAGGGTTACTGGACTGTGTGAAAGCCAAAAGGCCTAAACGTACGTGTATTTTCTTATTCATCATAGATTACTATTTTTAAAATTATCATTAAGAAAAAAAAATCAAAACATGGGTGTATGTAAAACAATTTTTATTCAATTCTTATATTTTTTCAATAAAATACAATGCTGCCTATAGAAAGTGTTTGCATTTTAAAAACGATAAATGTGGCTGTAAAAGTTAGAAATGAAGAAGTCGACTTAGATTACAGATCGGTTTTATATGGGTACACCATGATGATACAGAGGACATTGTTAAAATTTCCAGGAAAATGTTATTATTAACATTTTTTGTATGGGGCCTTTTTCAAAGTCTACTGCGCATTGTCTATGTCTATTAGCTGCGAAAGACAGTGCCATGTTATCATTATATACCAATAATTTCGGTCACCGAGGGTGTATCACATGAATTGATATGGCCAATGCAGCTGTCATGTTCTCAGCTAGGCACGTTCTCGTGAATATGAGGAGAAGAACCTCCACGTATAAAGAGTTATATAAAATATTCACTCATTCTTACTGGCCTACCCTTCGCCCAATGTTTTGAAAATGCCCCAAAGTCTAATTAGATCTACATGTATCTTTCCCAATCTAAACATTAAAAATGATAAAACCACTCAAATAAAAACACCTGACGTCAATATGCCGATCTAAAATATAAAGGAAATCACGTCGATCTAATTGACTGACCAGTCATGCAGAAGTAGATTATTTTGTTAGAAATTATATAAAACATGGATCCAAGTGCAGAAAAGGGGCAAATAATTATATTGTTGAGTAGAACAAGAAATTTTATGGCACGTTGAGTAGAAGGAGTTGCATTTTTTTCAAGGAAAATTTAATTTGGCTTTAAATTTTCAAGTTAACTGAAGGAGGGTTTAATCCTTCTTCACGCCACACAAATGGGGATAAATTCTGATGGAAAAAAAACGTTGGGAAATCTGATGAGGTATTCTTAATAATGCTTTTATCCGGATCGTCATCTTTTTGCATATAAAAAAGGGACTGTCTTGGACTGAATGCGGATGCTAGATTTTCAGTGAAGGAGGCTTGAAAACAATTACTGCACCCACTGAGAAGTTGCTACTATCATCACGAAACGGGTTTTTGTGCCTGCCTCGAAAAAATAGGTGAGATCGATCGAATGTAGAATTAATCATTGACATTGGACTCGAAAATCCTTAATTTGGAGTGTCTAAGTGTATTAAAAACCTCGCAGTACGCGCCTTTGTCAAGCACGTACTGGAACTGTTAATTGGTTATGGTAATGTACTGTTGTACGTTGTACTGCACTAGTTAGTAATTAGGTAGATTATTTGATTGAAGCCTAATATGAACAGTAGAAAATGAACAAATGACTTTAAAAAGTCGATTTTCCTGAATGGAAAAAATCTAACTTAGAAAACAGCACTTGGTAAAACAGGACATTGACCATTGCCCAGGGTGAGATCATTGACCAACTCACATTGGTCTTAAGGACACAATGCATTAAAAGGTCCAGAGTACAGCACTAGCAGACAGGAGCTGGTTTGACAAAAGAACTTTAACCCTTCAATATTGGTCTGTTTCATTTTGATATCAACCTGCTGTGCATCATCAGGTTTAATTACTGGTATTAACTGTATTATTTTTATTTTATTTCCAGAATTATGGTCCTTCCAACTCTCCTGTTTTATTCAGCAGCATCAGTTGTGATTCTCACAGTAGTTTTAGTGCTGTTATATTACACTCATCCCACTTTGTTGTTTGAGTGGTATATGAGGTGAGTGATCAAATGAATCTGGGGATAATATCACAAAATTGTTTTTGTACAGTATATATACATATTTTGTTGTTGTTGAAACAGAGGCAGCTAAATATTTTAATATTTCCTCCACACACACACACACACACATGCACGCTTATGCACATGCACACACATATCTATATATAAATTTGTGAAATTTCAGATACCAGCTCTACTCTAGTGGACTATGTGTTAGGTATGTAAAAAATGAAGAGCGCACCTATTGTTATGCGGAGAGGGGAACCAGGACCCCAGACAGGAGCTCTATATTGTTTATACATGGCTTCACTGCCAGCAAGGACATGTGGGTACCATTGGTGAAGGTAAGCAAAGCATTTTTGTTGATCTGTTTACATATCTGCTTGAATGTGTCCATAGTATTTTGTTAGAGAATATATATACTCTACACTTGCACCAGTAAATGGATTTAAGATATGTGAGCAAAAACTGTCAGTTTTGAACCTAATGTAATTAATTATAGGATAGATGGAATTTTATTGTGTTTTTAGGTATACTGCATTGATGACCCCCCCAAAAAAAGATATAAAGTAAAATTGCAAACAAATTTCAAACTCCTCACTTTTTACCAATAATTTATATTATCAATGGATAGATTATAATATTTTATTCCTTACAAATAAATACTTCGTTGACACCAGCCAAACTCTCTTACAAGATTTGAAAATATATACTTAAGATGTCTTTATTAGAAAATATAGATTTGTCAATAAGAAAATACAGTTGGGCAGATAGTATCAATCATGTTCAGTGAAGGAATGACTGTATTATATTTTAAGAAAATAATTCTTTTTTTTTTTTTCAGCTGCTTCCCAAGAACCTGCACATTGTAGCAGTGGACTTGGCTGGGCACGGGCATACCACACAAGTCCCAGGAGAAGATATATCATTTCTAGGACAAATTAAAACATTACATCAGGTAGGGATGCTGGAATTTTGTGGAAAATTTTGCCTTTTTCTTCACAAGCATGTCTTCCCTAGATTGCCTCTCACTTCTTTTATTTTCTTTCTTTCTTTAAGTTTATTATTCAGTTTATGACTGTATGACAAGTTTACCAGTTGTTCAAGAAGACCATAATCATGAATATTTGCAATTATCATTACAGTTTGTAGAACTTATAGGCCTCAATAGTGCCCCATACCATGTGATAGGCCAAAGCATGGGAGGGGCCATGGCAGGGTTATATGCTGCACATTATGGTCATGAAGTAGATAAAGTGACCCTTATATGTCCTGCAAGTAAGTGATTTAAAAATGAATGATGTCTTTTACTTTGATTTAGGCAACGGCATAGATATTAATTTTCTGTAAGATACCTCCACTCTAAAAAATATGCATGGTTATTCAGTGCAATTTGATCAGATTGTTTTTTCCCCTAACTTTTAGTATTTCCATATTTTTCATATTTTGGTGAAGATTGTTATGTATATATTCAATGTGTATATTGACTTTAGAATAATGCAAATGTTATATTTTAAGGCATTTTGTGCATTTTTTTCTTAATTTCCTTCAGTGAAGACGCCTGTAGAAACAGAATTCATTCATGAGTTACGCTCAGGACACTGTCGTCTCATTCCTAAAGAACCAGAAGAAGTTCAGTACATGATAGATTCCACTTTGTATAACAAAAGACGGTTCCCTAAACAGGTGAAATTTTATAAATAAATAAACCATAAGTAAAATTGACTCGAGCTTGTTAAGCTGTAAGTATCTGTCAATATACTTTTTGTGTGGAACAAATAATAGAGTTTATTTAAAATTAAAAGCAACATAAATATCCGAAAAACTCATTTTAAAGGAGCAGTCCGACAAGGGCTGCTTTAGAATGAAAATCAGTCCAACTCTCACCATTTAATGTCTTATTTGATTACACAGCATTTCTGTTTTCAATAGTCTGGGGTGGAGTGGAATGTCTTTGTGATCTTAATCACTGCTCAAGAGAAAAGCCACACATACCATCAGATAACATGGTTGTCTGAGGATGCAAGTTGACTTGATTTTAAATCTTGAGTTGTCCTTGTCTAAACTGGCTTCTATCCTCTTTATAACATGCCTTGTGCTGTATTTTTTTCTCTAGATCCTGAAGGCAGTTATTAAAACAAGAGAACCATATAATGACTTTTTTCATGAGTGTAAGTAGGCTAAGAGATTATATTATGATAAATTAATTAACTACTGAAGTTTAGTGAATAAATGATATCAAAGAAGCTTTAATTCATATTGCTTATTTTAGTATTACACTTACTAGGCTAAGCTGTATATTTGCAAACTTTGCTGCATATTTCTCATTTTCATGTTTCTTTTTCAGTGTACACTACCCTAGCTACAGATGAAGAAGGGGAGCAACTCATTCAGCATGCAGAGAAAATTACTGTACCATCACAAATAATTTGGGGGGAACATGATGAGGTAAAGAATATGTAATAGTTTATTTAATGTATGGTATGTATGATATATACTATATGCAGAAAACTAAAGGAAAAGCATTCAAAAGCTTCTGGTAACATGATATAATGATGTAAAGTATGCATGAACATTTTTGTAACAGGAAGCTAATAAGATAAAGTTATGTAAAAAGTTGTAACAGATTGTACATTTATAAAAGGTAATATATATTATCTGCAGTCGGCACCTTCATTGCCAATAGCTGGATGTCATTATACATTTAAACCACCAAGTTACATATAGTGTTGATATTCCATTTCGACAGCAAAAAATCACAACTGGTCAGGATTTTTTTAGTGCACATAAATGTAACTGTCTGAGGAAAACATAATTTCAAATTGCTTAAATACACATTTAAAGTTCTTCAGTTGGGTATATTATTTTCAGCTTGTCCATGTCTCTGGCTTCGATGTCCTAAAGAAGGCACTACCAAACTGTCAGAAGGCAGATGTTATTGAGAGGTGTGGTCACTCCACCAACATGGATCGTCCAGGCATGGTGGTCAAGCTTCTGCTACAGTTCCGTGGAGAGTATATTAAGACCAATAGGAAAAGTAAAGCTCAGTAAAGAAATACAGTCATCTCTGTGTTTGTTTGTCATTCCAAAGAGTGATAAAGAATTTGTCCTGCTGGAATTAACTGTGGTTCTTAAAAGGGAAAGTGAATGGTGTGAATTAGATTCTTGGTCCCTGCGTACATCAATTACTGGGAATTTTGATTAAATGGACAGAATCTATAATTTTTATTCTGATCTGCAGAAGAACGATTTTATAGCTAATTTTCCTTCATGCAGTTATTTATTATTCCACATTCTAAAGAAATGTATTTGATAGAGTTATTAATCAAAACTGTTGTGATTGAGTTATGAAGTATAAGGTGCTCAAAAGCTACTTATGGAGGAATGCATTAAAACAGGTTGTTTAATTACAAGTAACAACGATTGTTTTAGTAAGCTGTTTACTTAAAAAAAAAACACTGTTGCAAAATTAAACAGTTTAGTGTGTTGCCATTAAGATTTTGTTTTTTCTGTTGTGAATGTGTGTCTTCAGAAACGTGTAACACATCTACTCTTTTTTTGTAGTAGGTTACAGATTGATGTGATTTCTCAGGTTTTTACACTGAACCAAAAAAAAAATTTTAACGATATAAAGTGTTTGTAAAGTTTTTTTGTCATTTTTGTTTCATTTTTGTGTCATTTTTGTGTAAAAGATGAAAAGATCATTCAATAAATACATTAACAATTTTTCGTTTCATCTTTTTCTTCTTTCATCCTAAAGTAAAAAAGACTAAGACAGTAAAATTGTTGCAGAGAAAATAAATCTTAAAATTTATTTTAAAATATTAAAGTAGAAGGAACATATCACAGAGAGATTTTGTTGTTACACAGCAATGTTCAAGCTTTACACTTAATGGTTAATGCACTGAAATTTTTTTCTGAAGAGGGTGGTTCCACAACTAGTTTGTTCAAAGTGATTGCACAAATCTGTTTATGTAAAAGTTGCTAAGGATATATTTCAGGTCTGTTGTATCTCAGAATGGACGTATATCATCTAGCCTACAATATAATTCCCTGATATCAGTCACCAAAACCCTGAAATAATAATAAACAGAGTTTTAAGTTGGTGTTCTGATTTAAATAGTATGAAGTCCAAGTGTATCTTCACGTTTAAAAAAATTAACATGAAAAATATATTTGTTTCTACAAGTAATGCCCTGACAAATGATGCATATATGTTAAAATATTTCATAATGGGTAAGAAGTATTTAAAAATAAGTTTCATCACAGGCATTATCAGAGTCCTTTCTACGCAAAATCCTCATCTACTGCCTCATATGACTTGCTTTTTTCCTCTTACTAAAATCTGACTTCATTCCTATAATTTAAGACTGCTTTTGAAATATTTAAAAAAAAAGGCACTAAATTAAACTTAAAATGTTGATAATAAAAAATTTAGTCTTTTTTTCACCCAATTTAATTCCTCACATAATTGATGCTTGCGAAAAAACTCTTGCAATCCTTCGTATCTTTTCACGATATCAAACCCACAGAGCACTTGGAGTTTGTGTAAGTCTACAGGGCACAGCTGCATGGGCTGGCGAAAATCTTCTGCTAGATTTCCCGATCCATTCATACAACATGCAAAAAAGATACAATGGTCGATGCCCAGAAGATGACTGATCTCATGAACAAGAAGTTTACAGCTTCTATGCAGGAGAAGCTTTTTCCTTTCATAAGGGGTAGAACTGTTTGTTTGCTTCATCTCAAACCAATTTTCCTCTGAAAATACAATCCCTGGTTCGTAGCGGAAGAAACTGAAGATTGCCACACGATGGTTTCCAGCTGCCATGCCAGCAACAAATAGATCACTTTGCGCTTCGTAGAGATCCTCCATTGTGAGGGCAATTAGGCACAGCGCATTGTCAGGAATGTATTGTTTCATGGTAAGGAGAATGGTGTCTACAGCCAACTGTCGTCTGCCTGACTTGGCATCAAATCTGGCATTAAGGTGGTGTTTCTTGACTCGCTTGCTTTTTCTTGAGGTATATAGGGCTGTGAAATGATTAAAAATGGTATTTGTATGTTGCAATCAGGGTTAAAAAGAGAATTTCATGAAGGAAATGTATTGTTACTGCCTGATGAGTACTTGTCATCATAGTCATGTGAGTAAGCTTACCAGTTAATCACCTGAGAGAGTCATTAGATCGTGTGTATAGTTGAGTTGCATTTATGAATAGCCATTGGATAGTACAGTAACATTTAACTCAGCCTGAGGAACTCTGAAATTTTCACATATTTCACAGTCTGTGGATATCTCTTGCAGGGAACAGAAACATCATTAAAATCATTACAGTATGTGTGCCACAGAACCAAAGCAATTTTGCAAGAAAATCTAATGACTACAGATTTGGTTCAACAAGTAAAATAATTATCACAAATGCTATACAAAGAGAGCTGATATGCCAGGATCACCTTCACTCAATTCATGCCATACCAACATACCTTTTTCCTCAGAGCTTGGCACATCTATCCAGGTCATCTTGTTGTTTTCACATCTCAAATGGACAGGAGGCAAGACATCAACAGGCAGACAAAAGAACAGGCGTGTATACTCCACCAACTCTTCCATAGCAACCCCTACATGATATAAGAAAATTCAGTAGACTCCATATGACTTGGACGCTTCACAAGAAAGTTTGAGTTGGGCAGTGTTCACATGAAGTTTAGCTATTACCCAGAAAATATCTATTATTAGGTTCCACAAGATTTGATGGAGATAAAAATAAAGTGGGCCTTGCACACCCCCCCCCCTGAGAAAAGCCTCTTCTTTGAAATTCCTGGCTATATGCCTGTTATCAAAGTACCTGCAGGCCCGTAGCCAGGGGGGGTTCGGGGGGTTCGAAAGAACTGCCCCTTTTGCCAGGAAAAGGTCCACCCTGGGTAAAATTTGATCTAGGTACATGAAGTTTTTATGGGAAAAGGTCCACTTTTTCAGAAAAAGAACCCCCCTTTTGAAATTGCTGGCTACCGGCCTGACCTGAGTCTGAATCAAAATCTCCAAGTGGCTGGATGTATATCGTTCCCTCTGGATACTTCTCTTGAATAGTGGCTCCCTCTGGATTAAAATTCTGCCTCATATATTTTACTTTCCTTGAAGACAGCCAGGGGCATTCCCTGCAAAAATATCATTAAAACAACTTACACAAAACAACACACTAGTGTATCAGATTGAAGTGTGTCAGCAATTAATTGTTGCAAGTACAACTTGATGTTTTTACCATACAAGGAAAATACAATCAAGTTTCAATTGATGAAACATTTTGTATTTTCTACAAAGGTTTGAAAGAGAAAGCATACTACATTGACCTGAAACTACACTGAAAAAAAAAACAGTGCAATTATTAAATGAGACACTTAACAAACATTTATCAAACAACAGTAGGTATCATATACAAGGCAGAGATTACTGCATAAATCAAAGATTCTTCTTCACATGTAAAACAAAAACTTATATTTAATATACAGTATTCATGGTAAGATAACAAACAATATATGTTCAGTTGAAGAATGAATTCAAACATAAATAACGTTTTCACAAACCTGAGAAACTGTTTGAATGTCTGTCCATCTTCTCTAAATTGGGCCAACCAGTCCAGGTCACTGCTGGGGTCAGGGAGGGGAGGGAAATGACCCCCTGGCTGGAGTGGCCTGGGTATTGGTGCCAAGCTATCTAAATGAAAAAACCCGATTTTGTCTTTAGAATTTAATCTAAAAGGGCAGCATGTTCAGACATGGGGAAACTTTGAAGATGCTGCAGGTCCAGAGCACCTGCACTTAAAGAAAACTGCAGGTCCTCCTCATTCTAGTTCTGCTGGTTCAAACTAAGTATTTGATTTTCAATAGTCTACGTTTACATCTGATTTATTACTATGCATTGCAAGGTATTTTCACGTTAACATTGCTAGTCCAGATGACATATGACCCGTTGGACAGGCCATTTCCTATATGTCTTCATGTTTCAATTCTCACATAGGAAGACACAAGAACAGATCTTTAATATATAAGTAATACTTCTTCATAGCATGCACTCAAACCAATAAGGTGGAATAACAGCGTGGGTAATTTAAAGAGATGACTTCTTCCCACTTCTCCCCACCTCCAGTTATAGCCTTCATCTGTCTTGGTTTTGTCACTGGCTTGAATCCTGCGACGAACGGCACAGGTCTAGTTTTCATCTTGGATTTACTTGACTTCAGCTTCGGCATTTTGATTATTTCACAGCTCAGGCTGCAACAGCATTTTCAAACATAAAACTATATGGTTAATAAGTAATGCAACGCAGAAGTGTATTTACATTTTCTGTAGTTATAAAGATCTCTAGAAGTTGGTGGGTGTATCAAGTTTGAAACATTTATGAGAAAGAGAGAGAGTACTATTTTTCCCTAAAAATACATGCAATCATACTAATTATATTACTACAAGTAGTATAGCCGAGTACCACAAAGCCACTGTCCACTTCTCCCGCCCCGCACGCACACGTGCACACACACAAACACACACACACACACACACATTTCCACACAACACTGAGGCAACCAAAACACGCCTCCCATTCCCCGTGCAACTTACCACTTATTTCTTACAATTCCCTTGAAGAAAGCAAGTGTCAGTGATCATATGCCCGCAATAAATCTTCCTTGTTCTTATTAATCATGAAACTTGCTTGGACCAACTTGTTTAGTCTACACTCTATGCACTTTCGCTGACTCTGCATTCAGGCCTTGCTCTAGTTCTAAACAAATTTGACCTAGTTGAAAATAATGTGCTGACGTCAGTGACGTATATTGTGACGTATTTCACAAGCAATGTCTCACAGCCAGACTACACCACTTCCGAATAGAGGTTAGTAGAGGAGTTTTATGCGTTTTACTTAATGCCACAGCTAATTTTTTTTTATGACTGTCCAGTTGACGAATTTACAAGCTGTCAATTCAGCACTAAAGGTTTTATTTTAGAGCTTAATTTCACTTATGAAATAGGCATGAATGTGTAGCGTCAAAATTGGGTCAGAGTTTACGCATCGAAATCTACACGCTGATCAGTCAGATGGTCAACTTTAATTTGTCATTTTCAATTAGTTCTGTAGCAAATACCGATCTACGAACATTGTAGAAACACACTATCAACCTAAATAATTTCTGAAAAGCATCCGAGAAAATTAAAGGTCGAAAAAAACCTCAAAATATGCGGGCAGAATTTCATTGCACACTACTTATTCGATTTGTTTGAACTGGTTTTATTTAAATGCCTTTTTATCGATTGCGCCTGAGCACATGATAAATGCGTGCTTGCACGTGAAAAACTCGTGCACTGTTTTGTTAAGGAAAGTTGCATTTAAATGCATTAAGTAACCTATTTATACGAAAAGTAATGCTGGACGACACTGCTCTTGTATAGGTGTACTATTTTTGTTCTGTCTAATTTAGTAATTGGGAGAGAGAGAGCATACTTCTTTACCTGACCTTATTTCCAGACACCTGCTGTTCCATCTTGTGGTGTATTTTTTCCTACATTATTTATAACCTGGGAGAGTTCAATGAGAAATATGGCTTGCCTTGTTCAGTAAATGTTTCTCTCTTCACCATTGTGTAAGAAAGGCGATTGATGAAAATGGATAATATATAATTGATAAAAGGTGGTGAGAAAAAACTTGTTACGGACAAGTTTTACTTATGAAAAAATATATATATATCTGTGTACAATAGCCCAGCAATGTCTCTTTTGGTAAGTTATTATGTACTTAGGAGAAAGTAAATGCAATTTTTATATATTTATAGAAATTGCCTCAGGGTTATTTTGTAATTTTGATTAAAGGATGGAATTTTTCACCATGAAGCTAAAACAGCAGTTCTGCGCATGGGTATAGGGGTAGTTATATGCCTCGAAAAAATTAATTGGCGCAAAATCGCACTATAGAATGCAATTTTTTTATGAGCAAGTATATACCGTATACTGTCTGAAAGAAAATCTAGATTCAGTCTTCTTTTGCAAAGAATGAAGAGATTTAGGCTTCGTTCACATGCAATGTCTATTTTCTAAATTCTATTTTCTATTCGCGCTATCTTATGATCACGGTCTGTGCACTTAATATCCCGCCGCGTAATTACTGGCAGCGCGAGCCAGTTACTTATAGTAACTTATAGTAACTGGCTCGCGCTGCCAGTAATTACGCGGCGGGATATTCAGTGCATAGACCGTGATCATAAGACATGCCGCAAATAGAAAATAGAATTTAGAAAATAGACATTGCATGTGAACGAAGCCTTACCGATTAAGATATTGATCAACTGTGTTTTCCATTAACTGTTGGCAACTGTCATTGATTTCCTTGTTGATGCTGAATGTGAAGCAATTTATGGAAATGTGTTATATAATTTAAATGCTGTGAAATCAAGCTGGTCTGAAGCTGTCATCATAGGAAACATTTGGATCTAAATATATAATTATTTTTCTCTCTGATTGAATTTTATAAGTTGATTTATGTAGGTAAAAAAAAGTTAGAAAAATTGCTTTTGAGACACTATGAAAGTTTTTTCTAGTTTGTGAAATAATTATTGTTATTATCTAATGGAAAAAATAATTTTATTAGAGAAATAAAGATGCCTGTATGCTAGTAAAGGGTTTAAGTTCAATTCTGTCTTCATTATTTGTTGAATACATATAGCTTTTGTATTTTCACATAAAAACACAACTAAACCTTATTTTCAATTGATTAATTTTTAAGCTGTTAGGGTTAGAGTCAGTTTTTCACTACATTGTAAACAATAGATGTTTTTATTGCAAAATGAGAGTGCAGACCTTTTCCAAGGCAGCAATTTTTGATTATTATTGATTATTGATTGATTATTGATCTGGATCACCACCAAAAACTAATCATCTCTTCCTTGGCCCACTTTTGACAGTTCCTGAAAATTTCATCAAAATCGGTCCATAACTTTTTTGAGTTATGTTGATGACAAACAAACAAACAGACAAACAGGGGTGAAAACATAACCTCCTTGGCAGAGGTAAAAAGTGATTGTTATGTACACACACTGGACAATAGAAGTGTCACCCCCTGAACCAGAGTAATAATGTATAATGTCTGGTCTACTTATATGTGACTAATAAGTATAAAACCTCTGTGATTTTATTCATCACAATGATACTGTTTTCAGATCATTGATACTTTGAACTAGGACTTTTGGATTCATGTCGCAAATGTACTTTGGCCAACATTTGGATATAGAAATTATTGATATGTGGTACAAAAATGAAATAATAATAATAAACATTGGAGGATTTAAGTACTAAAAACTTACGCTATACTAGTGAGGGGGTAGGGGGTTTAGAAAGTTAGAAAATTGTCTCACTCATGTCGTACAAGGCGTTGGACGAGCATTCAAAATGTGGCCTGTCCAGCATAATCGTAAGCACTAAGAACTGGTCTGATCCTTCTAATCAGAGCTTCAAAGTCTTGTTCTTGGCAAGTAAGAGGAATGTTTGTTTGTTTTTAAATAATTTAATGCCTTTGCATTAAATAATGATTTTAAATAATGTTTTAACATTATAATTAAAATATGGGAACTTTTCTACAGTTTATTAGATTTTTATACTTGTTAGAGTTATCCCTATGTAGTCACATTCAATTCAGGTGCACACATTTGCATTACGACAGGCCATAAAATTTAATAATGTACTTTTAATTGTTATGCTGTTAATGTTTGTTGATAGAGGACGCCACCTGCCATGTTTGCAATATTTTAAGGTGAAGATTTTCAATGATAGATGGCGCCAATCCAAATGTGGGTGTGTGCTCAGTGGAACACTGTGATTGGTCCAATGCTATTTTAGAGGTCATGCAGTGTCCTTCAAGTTAGTATATATCACAAGTCAATATTGTTGAAAAAGTAAAGGATTACCGGTAGACTGTTGATGTATTGGAAGGCTTTTGGACTTTGTGGAGGTAAAGCATGGATGAGAACCTAAACTCCAAGAGAGTAGATAATAACAGATTGGACAAGTGTTCATTCCATGGTGGTGTACTAGTACATAAACACAATGGTAAGTTTTCTTCAACTTCTGTATTATATGTTGCTGCATTAGACAAGTGGGTCACTTTTGGGATGTTTGTGATATATAAAGCAGGTTATACGATAGCTCACCTGGATTAAAAACAGGCTTTCAGCTTAGATAAGCATTTTTGTCCCTCTTTTGGTATTTACTGGGTATTAACTTACTTTTTTACACTAAAGAAAAAGTGGGTAATAGCATATGAACTGCATCATGATTGTTTGTCGTGTTATAAGCTGTTTGTGTTATTGTCTAGACGGTTTCTGAACAGATGTTCTTAAATAAGTGATGCTATACCTGTATAGGTTGTATACTGTACACAGTTAATTGTATCATTTGTTGCTGTTTGTAGGTCTGGTTTAGAAGCACAATATGGAGGATTAAAATGTTATTTTCAATCTTCTGAATGTATTCATTTGTAAAAAAAAATGTAGAAATTAATTTTATTCTACTTTGGTGCAGCACTGGTGCTTCTTGTGTTTCTTTTTTCTTTTAGCTTGTAATACAAGCTTAGACAAATATAAATTGTCATGACCTCACTTTTTGAAAGCACTTCATTGAAATAAAAGTTTTGTAAGTGCCAAAAAGATATTGAATTAAGCTATAAATGAAACTGGTTTGCAAGAGGATGCAGAACTGGTTTTCCTTATCACTTGAAAGTTGGGCATACATATGCTACATAGTAAATAAAAGCATATGGAAAGGATAGTCTAGCTTTAGGGAGTGGGCAGGTCACCATGAAAGCGCTTGCTGGAGCAGAACTAGACCAATAATTGTCTGGTTATGTTAGAACTCAAATTANGCGTTAATGCTTTTTTGCTACTTCGATACTACAATGTACTGCATTTTCGTGCGGGTTGCCTTGGCAATTTCTTTTAAAAACAGATCTTTAATATATAAGTAATACTTCTTCATAGCATGCACTCAAACCAATAAGGTGGAATAACAGCATGGGTAATTTAAAGAGATGTCTTCTTCCCACCTCCAGTTATAGCCTTCATCTGTCTTGGTTTTGTCACTGGCTTGAATCCTGCGACGAACGGCACAGGTCTAGTTTTCATCTTGGATTTACTTGACTTCGGCTTCGGCATTTTGATTATTTCACAGCTCAGGCTGCAACAGCATTTTCAAACATAAAACTATATGGTTAATAAGTAATGCAACGCAGAAGTGTATGTACATTTTCTGTAGTTATAAAGATCTCTAGAAGTTGGTGGGTGTATCAAGTTTGAAACATTTATGAGAAAGAGAGAGAGTACTATTTTTCCCTAAAAATACATGCAATCATACTAATTATATTACTACAAGTAGTATAGCCGAGTACCACAAAGCCACTGTCCACTTCTCCCGCCCCGCACGCACACGTACACACACACACACACACACACATTTCCACACAACACTGAGGCAACCAAAACACGCCTCCCATTCCCCGTGCAACTTACCACTTATTTCTTACAATTCCCTTAAATAAAGCAAGTGCCAGTGATCATATGCTCTCAGTAAATCTTCCTTGTTCTTATCATGAAACTTGCTAGGACCAACTTGTTAGTCTACACTTTCGCTGACTCTGCATTCAGGCCTTGCTCTAGTTCTAAACAAATTTGACCTAGTTGAAAATAATGTGCTGACGTCAGTGACGTATATTGTGACGTATTTCACAAGCAATGTCTCACAGCCAGACTACACCACTTCCGAATAGAGGTTAGTAGAGGAGTTTTATGCGTTTTACTTAAAGCCACTGCTAATTTTTTTTATGACAGTCCAGTTGACGAATCTACGAGCTGTCAATTCATCACTAAAGGTTTTGTTTTAGAGCTTAATTTCACTTATGAAATAGGCATGAATGTGTAGCGTCAAAATTGGGTCAGAGTTTACGCATCGAAATCTACACGCTGATCAGTCAGATGGTCAACTTTAATTTGTCATATTCAATTAGTTTTGTAGCAAATACCGATCTACGAACATTGTAGAAACACACTATCAACCTAAATCATTTCTGAAAAGCATCCGAGAAAATTAACCGCCGAAAAAAACCCTCAAAATATGCGGGCAGAATTTCATTGCACACTACTTATTCGATTTGTTTGAACTGGTTTTATTTAAATGCCTTTTTATCGATTGCGCCTGAGCACATGATAAATGCGTGTTTGCACGTGAAAAACTCGTGCACTGTTTTGTTGAGGAAAGTTGCATTTAAATGCATTAAGTAACCTATTTATACGAAAAGTAATGCTGGAGGACACTGCTCTTGTATAGTTGTACTATTTTTGTTCTGTCTAATTTAGTAATTGGGAGAGAGAGAGAGCATACTTCTTTACCTGACCTTATTTCCAGACACCTGCTGTTCCATCTTGTGGTGTATTTTTTCCTACATTATTTATAACCTGAGAAATATGGCTTGCCTTGTTCAGAAAATGTTTCTCTCTTCACCATAGTTTAAGAAAGGCGATTGATGAAAATGGATAATATAATTGATAAAAGTGGTTAGAAAAAACTTGCAATGTTTTAAGATAAAAGTGGTTAGAAAAAACTTGTTATGGACAAGTTTTACTTATGAAAAAAAATTAATCTGTGTACATTAGGGAATACATCATTTGCCCAACAATGTCTCTTTTGGTTTGTTACTAAGTAATTAGGGGAAAGTAAATGCTATTTTTATATATTTATAGAAATTGCCTCAGGGTTATTTAATTATTTTGATTATAGGGTGGAATTTTTCACCATGAAGCTAAAACAGCAGTTCTGTGCATGGGTATAGGGGTAGTTATATGCCTCGAAAAAATTATTTGGCTCAAAATCGCACTATAGAATGCAGCCTTTTTATGAGCAAGTATATACCGTATACTGTCTGAAACTAAAGAAAATCTAGATTCAGTCTTCTTTTGCAAAGAATGAAGAGATTTACAGATTAAGATATTGATCAACTGTGTTTTCCATTAACTGTAGGCAACTGTCATTGATTTTCCTGTTGATGCTGAATGTGAAGCAATTTATGGAAATGTGTTATATAATTTAAATGCTGTGAAATCAAGCTGGTCTGATCATAGGAAACATTTGGATCTAAATATATAATTATTTTTCTCTCTGATAGAATTTTATAAGTTGATTTATGTAGGTAAAAAAAGTTAGAAAAAGTGCTTTTGAGACACTATGAAAGTTTTTTTTTCTAGTTTGTGAAATAATTATTGTTATTATCTAATGGAAAAAAATAACAATTTTATTAGAGAAATAAAGATGCCTGTATGCTAGTAAAGGGTTTAAGTTCAATTCTGTCTTCATTATTTGTTGAATACATATAGCTTTTGTATTTTCACATAAAAACACAACTAAACCTTATTTTCAATTGATTAATTTTTAAGCTGTTAGGGTTAGAGTCAGTTTTTCATTACATTGTAAACAATAGATGTTTTTATTGCAAAATGAGAGTGCAGACCTTTTCCAAGGCAGCAATTTTTGATTATTATTGATTATTGATTGATTATTGATCTGGATCACCACCAAAAACTAATCATCTCTTCCTTGGCCCACTTTTGACAGTTCCTGAAAATTTCATCAAAATCGGTCCATAACTTTTTTGAGTTATGTTGATGACAAACAAACAAACAAACAGACAAACAGGGGTGAAAACATAACCTCCTTGGCAGAGGTAAAAAGTGATTGTTATGTACACACACTGGACAATAGAAATGTCACCCCCTGAACCAGAGTAATAATGTATAATGTCTGGTCTACTTATAATGTGACTAATGAGTATAAAACCTCTGTGATTTTATTCATCACAATGATACTGTTTTCACATCATTGATACTTTGAACTAGGACTTTTGGATTCATGTTGCAAATGTACTGTGGCCAACATTTGGATATTGAAATTATTGATATTTGGTACAGAAATGAAATAATAATAATAATAAACATTGGAGGATTTAAGTACTAAAAACTTACACTATACTAGTGAGGGGGTAGAGGGTTTAGAAAGTTAGAAAATTGTCTCACTCATGTCGTACAAGGCGTTGGAAGAGCATTCAAAATGTGGCCTGTCCAGCATAATCAGAAGCACTAAGAACTGATCTGATCCTTCTAATCAGAGCTTCAGAGTCTTGTTTATGGCAAATAAGAGGAATGTTTGTTTGTTTTTAAATAATTTAATGCCTTTGCATTAAATAATGATTTTAAATAATGTTTTAATATTATTATTAAAATATGGGAACTTTTCTACAGTTTATTAGATTTTTATACTTGTTAGAGTTATCCCTATGTAGTCACATTCAATTCAGGTGCACACATTTGCATTACGACAGGCCATAAAATTTAATAATGTACTTTTAATTGTTATGCTGTTAATGTTTGTTGATAGAGGACGCCACCTGCCATGTTTGCAATATTTTAAGGTGAAGATATTTAATGATAGATGGCGCCAATCTCAATGTGGGTGTGTGCCCAGTGGAACACTGTGATTGGTCCAATGCTATTTTAGAGGTCACGCAGTGTCCTTCAAGTTAGTATATATCACAAGTCAATATTGTTGAAAAAGTAAAGGATTACCGGTAGACTGTTGATGTAATAGAAGGCTTTTGGACTTTGTGGAGGTAAAGCATGGATGAGAACCTAAACTCCAAGAGAGTAGATAATAACAGATTGGACAAGTGTTCATTCCATGGTGGTGTACTAGTACATAAACACAATGGTAAGTTTTCTTCAACTTCTGTATTATGTTGCTGCATTAGACAAGTGGGTCACTTTTGGGATGTTTGTGATATATAAAGCAGGTTATACGATAGCTCACCTGGATTAAAAACAGGCTTTCAGCTTAGATAAGCATTTTTGTCCCTCTTTTGGTATTTACTGGTATTAATTTACTTTTTTACACTAAAGAAAAAGTGGGTAATAGCATATGAACTGCATCATGATTGTTTGTCGTGTTATAAGCTGTTTGTGTTATTGTCTAGACGGTTTCTGAACAGATGTTCTTAAATAAGTGATGCTATACCTGTATAGGTTGTATACTGTACACAGTTAATTGTATCATTTGTTGCTGTTTGTAGGTCTGGTTTAGAAGCACAATATGGAGGATTAAAATGTTATTTTCAATCTTCTGAATGTATTCATTTGTAAAAAAAAATGTAGAAATTAATTTTATTCTACTTTGGTGCAGCACTGGTGCTTCTTGTGTTTCTTTTTTCTTTTAGCTTGTAATACAAGCTTAGACAAATATAAATTGTCATGACCTCACTTTTTGAAAGCACTTCATTGAAATAAAAGTTTTGTAAGTGCCAAAAAGATATTGAATTAAGCTATAAATGAAACTGGTTTGCAAGAGGATGCAGAACTGGTTTTCCTTATCACTTGAAAGTTGGGCATACATATGCCACATAGTAAATAAAAGCATATGGAAAGGATAGTCTAGCTTTAGGGAGTGGGCAGGTCACCATGAAAGTGCTTGCTGGAGCAGAACTAGACCAATAATTGTCTGGTTATGTTAGAACTCAAATTGCCTTTAACTTACCCATGTTACAAAATATATGTACATGTGGAGATGTAGGGGTCAGTTAATTTCACCTTTACCCATGTCTGTCTGAATTTACTACATGTATTTCTTCTTTTTTTTTTTTTTATTGGCAAAGTTAAAATATTTTACATGCAATGTTTAGATAATTAGATAACCTAAAAGGTGCAATTTGGGCAGTTTCAAGCAAATTTCTGGGATATCTATCATATACTTTTCAATCAACCTAAGTGAAATATTAATTAAATAATAATAATTTATAATTTCACCAGTGATGTAGTGCCACATGTTGGCAGACATACCCAAAATACTTGACTGTACAATTAATGAACCATACCTTTTATCGGCCTTAATTTATGAATGTCTGAACTTACCACACTGCCATATTTTATTTAAGCCAGAAAATGGTGATCATTGTTTACTGTGGCAAAAGAAAAAAAAACAAAAACAAAAACAAAAACCACAACGACAAAGACAACATTAACTGTTAGACGGTTGAAAAAAAGTGATTAATTATTAACTAAATTTTTAGAGATGAATCAGTAAGAATGAGTTGTTTATTAGTAAAAACAAATGGAAAAGGACATGCAAAATCTGAACCCAGTTGGGGCAATGAACTCCACCTATTAGGAAGAGCTATCCGTCCATTAGTTTAGTCAGGCATGAAGTAGAACACTAATGCCAGTAATGGACCCAGGGACCCATAGAAATGTGTTACCGTTGACAACTGCTGTATATAGCAGGCTGCTGCATCATCAAATATGCAGTGTATAGCAGGTGGTTAATGCCTATCATAAAACATTGTTGTATGTCACCTCATGTAAGCTTTTAATAACTTGATTTATCACTTACTTACTTCCATTACTTTATGGTCCAAAATTCCCCTCTAACATAATTATTTCTCGGTTATCGGTTAATTACCATCAGTAATATTTTCACATCCAGCTTTATCACCTCATTTAAATCCTATTGCATCTTTTTATGAATACTTACTCGTTTGATTTACTACTGCTTTCCTTCAATTTAAGGGATTTTTATTATTCACCTCTAACTTAATTGTCATTCAACATTCTGTTTTGCGCCATTTGATGAACCCATTCTGAATACTTGTCTACAGGTAAAACCCCCTTTACACTAGACTGTGTTTTTTCTGCGTCCTACATGCAACCATAAAACTGACATCACTGTGGTTGCAGAATGAATGCTCAATGATCCGCCAGTTGTTGGCACATAATATATATACATTTTTTTTATTATTATTATTTTTTTATTATTTTTTTTTATTTTACTCTCAAATGGGGACATACTACAAGATGCAGACAGGACACCATTCAGTGTAAAGGGGGCTTAAGAGTGTTCACATTACACCACAGTCTAGGTTTTCAAAATAAGATTCAGACTCAGACTCTGTAATAGAAACAGATCCACCCCTTATCATCAGCTGTGGTCTAGGCATAAGGTAGAATAATGCACCATTCGTTCTCTCAGCTGTGAAGTTAAATTGGGTGTTTTAGTTCTAATCATTTAAAGATACTTATAAAGTAAGCCTGGATGTCCAGTTACACATGAATGTAAACTATTTCTGCTAGGTTTTAATTTGTTGTGTGACTAAAATAAAGTTGACATGCCAAAACAAATTCATTTCTCATTCCAGCCAAAAAAAGCTTTAAAACTGCACCTTCAGATTGTTTAGCGTATTTATATTGTTTTGGTTCATAAAGAACTGCTAAATGACATTGTACTGCACCCGTATTGTACAATATTCACTGCTTTTATATATGATTTTTCAGGAAAATGAAAAAAATACCTTTTGTTTTTCTCTAAGTAATACTATTTGAAACTATATGCTGGCATATGGTTGGGTTTTCTGGCAAAATTTTTACTTAAAATGTATCTTTAAAAGACGTATAAGGGTAAAGCATTGTCCATTCTTGATATATATATATATATATATATATATATAATTGTAAGATTTTAAGATTTTGTCAATAGATTACATACAGTCCTGACAGTGACTTGTACATCTGCATTCCCCTTTCCTAAACTTACGAATCATCACAGAGGTGATAAGACTTGGAATAAAAGAGTATGTCATTGTATCCATTTTTATCCTTAAACCGCAATTCCATTAAAGTAAAAGGGTTCATGTAGTTTTGTAGTGTTTTGAAGTGTTTTTGATCATCATGAAAATTTGGGTTGGCAAATCATGTTGAAAATTGTTGAAGCATTTAACTGAAGATTGGAGATATCATATTACTAGTACACTCAATCAAATTTTGTTGCACCACTGACAATCTCTGCACATTCAATAAAGGCCATCTTGAGAATTTAAAGGATGAAGTTGTATTGTGTAACTGAAGATTGGAGATATCATATTACACTCAGTCAAATTGTGTTGCACCGCTGATAGTCTCCCCACACACAAAAAAAGGTTCATTTGAGGATTTTAAAGTTAAGAAAATTCCATTCTGCTGGATACAGACATGCCATTAAGAATTAAAGTAATCAAATACAGAAGGTCCTTCTTGGACACGAAAGTTTTTCAATGCCAGTGGCACTTGAGCCCACAAGATGTACAAAATTGCTTTAAAATAAGTAGGATTATGTTTGCAAGGGGATACATATAGCGCCCTTTTGGATAGGAAACCTTTCAAACTCAAAGTGTACATAATATTGTGAAGTAGAAGGGTTGGATGTAATAGATAACAGAGGATCTTTTTTGGCAGGGTGAGCTTTTCCAACTCTAGGGCATATTGTGTGGGAATAGCTGAAAATAAGACCATAATGGATTATCCTTAGAACGAATCTTAGCTTAACGTGGTGCTTGTTTACGTAAATCAGACAAACATTTTTGTTGTGGTGCCCAACTGTGACAGTATTCCTAGAAGTGAAGCTGTTTTTTCCCAGGTATTGCAGATTTATATCTTCCTTGAGGTACTATAGTACAGATAGCACTTAGATTATATAGCAGACAAACAAGACCAGTGTTTCTGAAAATAACTGGTATCTAGGGGAAAAGACAAAAAAGAAAAAAGAAAAGAAAGAAAGAAGCCTATCAGATTATAGATACGCGTAGGAAACATCCAGCTGAGAGACTGGAAATGCCAGGTGAGCTTTGGATACTTAGAAGTGTCAGGAATGGAATGGAAGAATCTCTGTAGTCCAAATGCTGAAGGTCTGAAACTTTGTCAAGTCTTTTCAAAGGTTCACCAGTTCTGAAATTCAGTTGCTGTCAAGCCTGTTATTTCAAAGATTCATTTTAATCTTAAAGTAGTGTATTTCACACTTCTTGTCATACTGGCATCATGATTGGAAGATAGCTCTGGCAGTTTGTTTGTTTATCTCTTGTCGCCCTGTGTGTGGCAGTTGAACATAAAATGATAAAGTTGATCCTGCATTCTGACAAATTAGCTATGGGATGTGTCTGTTGGTGAAGTCTGTCTGGGATTATTTATTTGAAAAACAGAAACTGAACTGAACCACTTTTTGTGGAGATATTTAAAAAAAAGAGGAGGGAATTTGTTTTGTACAGACATTAAACAGAAAAACTGGAATAAAATAAGGTTCGTGGAATTTGTACTTTTGCTGTGCACTTACTGTGCACTTACTAGTAGTTTTGCTTGACTTATAAATGAAAAAACTAGATTGCTATGACAGCATTGTGAAATAATAATAATGCTGCCATATACAACTGCTGTCACCTGGTGGCCAATTACTGGTACTCGTATTGCTGTTGCTAGACCCATTCAGATCTGAAAAAAAGCAGTGCATATATTTTGAATGAGCATTTTTAATTTGTGAGTATTTCACTAACCTACATTTTGTAAGTGGATTAAATTTTGATCATCTTTTCTTCAAGCAAATTAACTAAATCCAACAACACAAAAACCGTGTTTTGAAATAAAGAAGGAGTATATATCATGGATATAGAATTAAAAGGGCAATCTGCATGTGCTGAAAAGAAATGACATCGGGTGTCCCAAATGAATAGATGACTTTTGAAGATCTATGTTATGTGAGCTGATTTTTCACTGGCATGGTGGGGCCAGTAATTATAAACCATTTTTCAAATTTTTACTCACCTGCGTTCACTTCTATCTGCATTTAGCTTTAAAGGGCCAGTGGGTAACATTGCACACTGAAAGAATTTTACTCTCATCATCTTTTTTTTTTTCATTCCAGTGTTGTGTCCCAACTTTGTACTATGTCCTCACATAATCGTGATGGTGGGTCTGCCCGCCCGGGGCAAGACATACATGGGGAAGAAACTGGCCAGGTATCTTAACTGGATTGGGATTAACACTAAAGGTATGTCAATATTGATTTATTTAATACAGTATACAGATTTTGAGTTGTGAGATATTAAGCAGGAATGAAAATTTTCTCTCAAATCAGCATTTTTTTTTATATTTTGGGGTAGTGTAACACCCCATTTCCATAGATTTTTAGATCGATCTATCCCTGTGGGAAGTCTCACTAGATTACTGTCAGCTTGGCCGGCTTAAGCGTCTGTCCTGCCTACTAAAAGCTGTAAGGGGGTAATTAACTATGGTGCCCGCTCGGCTGACTGCAATTTAGCGTGACCCCCAGGGAGTTAGGTCGATCTAAATCTTAATCTCTAGATCGATCTAAATCTCTGGGAAAGCACCCTTAGTGCTATACAACAGTAATGAGATTTTTCCAACTATCAACAGATTTTCGTCTTTTTCGGAGCCAGAAAGTCTCATCCCTGATTAAGGTTTTAGCAAATGAGAAACAAAAGCTTTGGGATACAGAGTATTATTGTTTGGAATGCAGGAAATTTAAGTTTTGGAATATTAAATATAAAGCCTTTTGAAGAACCAATATAAAGGTTTAGGAATATAAAATACAAAAAATTTTAAACAATGATTATATTTTAGATATATGTTATTACGGAAATCAAAGAATATTGACAGTGAGTTATGATAACCCTAACTTAGTTGTCATCTGCTTTCAAGCTAAAAAAAAAAGCATATTCAATATACTAGGTAGAGTTATATTCATATTGCTAGACTCAGGCCAGCATAGAAAATTGATGCCAAATGTTAAAAAAAATCAGTTCCATTGGCTAATTAATAAGTAATATCTTTGTTACCATCGTTACTTGGTTACACATCTTGCCCTACAAGGAACCGTTTTACATCACTTTCATGACACATGTATAAATCCTTTTTAGATACTGGGTCCTGATTATTAAAGTTATAACCCATGTCAGTAGTAAATTATCCATTCCTTACATCTATTTTATAGTCCATTTTCTCTGTCTTCTTCCAGTCTTCAATGTCGGTGAGTACAGACGAGCAGCTACAAGTCAGTACAAGAACAATGAATTCTTCCGTCCTGACAATGTCCAGGCCATGGCAATACGGAAGTGAGTTCACAATTCCTTATTGCTACCCTGCTTCTGGGAAAATATTTCTTTATTCCATAATTTCCAAAAGACACTCTGAAATAACCAGCGTGTGATTTTTAATTTTAATTTTTACATTCATTAATGTGAAAATTTTAGTTTTTATCAGATATAAGAAAAAGGAAAAGGAGACTTTTGAATAGATTGCAACACTTTAAGGTCTTAAAAGAACATATATTTTAATAAGGCTTGTTTGCAGTCTCCGTCTTGTTTTGATTTCAGTAAATGTGCCATGGATGCTTTGGAAGATGTCTGCCATTGGCTGAAGGAAGGGGGCGAAGTGGGGGTAAGAACATGTATTTTATTCTACCCAAGACAATTAGTACTGTCTGTGCACTCATGAAATAAAGTTTTGCAAACAAATACTGAGGTATGTTTATTTGATCACATCACACTTGTTATAAAGTATTTTTTAATAATATTTAGATATTTTGGAAAGATAAAGCAATATGATAAATATGTGCTTTGGCTTTAAATCTTATTTTTAAAATTATTTTTCTTGTTATTTTTGTCAGGTTTTTGATGCAACGAACACAACGAGAGAGCGCCGCCAGATGATATACGACTATGTTGTCAACAAATGCCAATTCAAAGTGTTCTTTGTGGAGTCTGTCTGTGATGACCCAGAAATAGTGAATGCAAATATTAAGGTATAGATTGACACATTAGTGCATGTTAAGTGTGTGTCCACGAGAAAACCAACCCAAATGTAGAAAATGCGGCAAGGTGGGGGTGAACGGATTTACATCATATTTGGTGTGTTTGAACCTTTATATGAACAATATCTGAGGCTGCAATATTTCCTGAAAAAAATCCCTACTTACAGAGATATGGCCAGTGACAATTTGGGGGTATAATCAACCAAAAATTCTTCTGAAAAACAGGGTTATATTGATTGGCCTTAAAGTTTATACAGGTGTCACTGAATGATTTAGTTTGGTGATATATTATAACCTAAAGATAGGGGATTAAAATGATATACACTTTTTTCACTCTCTTTGTTTCCATGGTAACAAACCAAGCGTTTTTCTCCGGCCTACAAACCACATGCTTTTAACACCCCCCTTCTATTTTTGACAATATCTTCATCTTCACAGGTCTTTGGGGTAAAGCTTGTTCAGGACTAACAGATAACTCATTAATCTATTTATACATGAAATCAAAACTTACTGCTGTTCTACAACTTGTCCGTTGTAACAGATAGAACATGACCTAATTTCTTCATTTTTCGTCAATCTATCCGGACATGTATATCGGTGCAATCAACTTCAGCTATCTCTTTCAAGTCAACAAATGGTTTAAAATACNTCAGGACTAACAGATAACTCATTAATCTATTTATACATGAAATCAAAACTTACTGCTGTTCTACAACTTGTCCGTTGTAACAGATAGAACATGACCTAATTTCTTCATTTTTCGTCAATCTATCCTGACATGTATATCGGTGCACTCAACTTCAGCTATCTCTTTCAAGTCAACAAATGGTTTAAAACACTGTTAGTTGAACTTTTTATTTTCATTTTACCTATTTATATTTTTTTCTGGTTAAAACAAGCATCTAACACATTTTAAAACCATGTGAAACTAATGTACTAACGTCAGAACAACACAACGTCATTATCCAACATGGCGGAAATCGCAGACTGTTTGTTTGCAAATCTTCCTCAACGAAGTCGTATATCATGTGGTTTATACTCTGTGTACAGATATAAAAAAGCATGTAGTGTATTGAAAAATTTCAACAAAGATATTAACAGTCATCTTCGTCGCGTTTACGTGGAGCAAAACAGCGTGAGTTACGAAAGCAAACTGATTCTTGTCAGGTGTGGATTCTTTTGTCTCCGATGATCGCAATTGGACATTTCCAAGTATCTTTGGGAGAATGAATGGGTTACACCATGTGACCAGCATTGGGATATGGGCTTGGTTTGTGCTGGAAACCATCCACACAGGGAAAAACGAGCCTATAACGAAATATGTCACGGGATTAACTTGCAGATGTCAGTGTAGACAAAAAGCCATTTGAATCTACTGGTGCCACTTGGTTCAGGTAAGAAACCGGTTTTTTTGTATTTTAATACAGACTAAAAGCCAGAAAAAAAAAGTTCACTCAGAAAAATGATCTAGGTGTAATTTTTTTAATGGTAAACGGTCCATTTTTAAAAAAGAAAAATGCCCCCTTTCAAATAATGAAATTGCAGCCTAAGGATCTGTGATAATTTTCTTTTAAGCTATCTTTGTGTGGGTATTTATGTAGGTTAAATGTATTTGGGTAAAATAAATTTAAGGGTAACAATTGGAATTAGATTGAAGCTATGGCTGGTCTTGGCAAAATTGCTAGGCTCCTCATAATTAATATTCGAAACCATGCCTTACTTATAAAACATGGACAAATGGGATAATAATTTATTTTTCATCAATGTATCAATTACCTTTCAGATAAGTGTTTTTATGTGTCTATAGTAAGCTATATTTATATTTCAGGCATATTTGAGAAGTGTTATTTGACACACAGTGATCTTATGGTCAGCAAGAGTCCAAAGCCTTGCAGAAACTGAAACTAGTGTGGAAATGAGGGCTGTTGTAGAAAGGCATATGTGTAAATGAAAGCCACAATATAACAAATGCCGAGGAGATGCATGAGGCCCTAGTTTCTGCAGTTGGAGCCATTTTCTACATCCAGCTAGACAGACAGACTTGATTCCTAAAACATGAGAAAAGGTGTCTCCCTTCCTTGAGCACTTTTAACATGAGTGATACTGATGTTAAAGTTAATTTGGATTTTTCTGAGGCAAATGTGCCAACTGGAACCATACCAAGCAAGATCACAAACAAGGAAATTTTTCTTGTCCAGAGAAGTCTTCTCTGAAATCTTTTGCTACCAAGACTGAAGAGTAATTGTAAGGTCCTTTTTTTAGACCACAGTTATGAAATGTGCCAAAAAAACAGCTTTTGATCAAATTAAAGTCTAGTGGGCCAACAATCTGACTAAAGAAAAACTTAAAGCACATCAGCTGTGAGAGAACTCCACCCTCTTGAATATCTCACTGAGTTACACAATGGATGAGCTTTAAAGTCATCTAAACCTTTGAAACTATATTCAAATAAAGTAAAGGAGTTTTACTGAATGAGTTTAGAAGGGCACAAGAAACAGGCCAGCAGAACCTAGCATTTGTGAGCATGAAGATGAGATTGAAATGTCAGTAAGGAGGGTTACAGACTAATCAGGAAGAAAAATGTATTAAAAACTTTGATGTTATGAGCTGTAATGTTTGATATAAAACTGCAAAGATGTTTCATAACACCAGGATATATTTTGCAGTTGTGTTAGTTTTGCTTTTTGAATAGAAAATTATCTTGTTTTGCTACATTATGATATAGTTTGTAATGATCACAACTAATGTTGCACTGCTTTGCATGTATTGCTGTATTACAATTTTGTGATTTTTTTATTATTTGTAATTATTCATCTGAGACAACAATAAACTGAATTGAATAATTTTTTAGTTACTGTATGCTCATAAATAGTCACCAAAAAGTGGTGTGGATGATTAAAAAAACCTTTTGATAATTAAAAAAGATTTGTTCTGGCTTTGCTCCCATAAATACTATGGCATATCCTGATCTCTATATGATAAATATTGCACCAAAAAGAAATCGCTACTAAACTAAGATTTTAATTTGTATTCACCAAATTGATGATATTAAAAAATATATATATTAAAATTATCATATAAACTCTCAAGTTAATTGCCAGTGCCTATCCAAAGTAACAGAATCTAAGGTTTATTTCCTCTAAACTTTTTGTCCATACAAATTAAAAAGTCCATATATGGCAATTTACAAATATGAAGCCCAGTGACCTTGATCTATGACCCACTGACCTGATATTCATTTGTACACATCCACTTTCCGTGCTCACCAGCCCTATTGATTTAGTAACATCATTGTAGAGCAAAATGGTTTAATAAATTAATCAAACCCATTGTCTACATAGACTTGAATGAATCCACCATGATTTTTTGCCATAAAAATGGCCAACTTTGGGGGTATTTTTCAGTACCTGTTTTTATACAGCAGTAACTTTTGAAACTTGATTTGGAGTGATCCATATCTGCCTAAAATATTCATGCAGTTTTATAGCTGTAAACCCTGTGAAGATGGAGATATATGCAATTAAAGATGGTAGTATCAAAATTGGACTTTGGGGGGGAGGGGTGTTAAAAATGGGTGTGGCTCGCCCAAGCAGGGTCTTATCTGAATTCTACATATATCTGTGGCAAGCCAAATGATTGTTTTCAATGTTTGTAAGGTCTTATATTTTTATGGTTTTCTCCATTTTTGTTTAATTTACACAAAATATATCATTATTTTTCCAAGGTAAAAATGGAGTCTCAAAGAGGCTACATAAGCCATGACTTATAATAGGCTAATAATTCTCTGAAGAAAGGATATTTTTGGGATTCCTTCCTAACTCATGAATAACTTCCTAATATGCCTCCATACAACAAATTTGGTTGAAATCCGCTGACCCCCACCTTGCCACCCTGGGCTGGTTCTCTCGTGGACAAGCTCTTAAAGTTCACAAACTGAACTGATTCAACTTTGAAAGTAACTTTACATAGGCTGTATGTATATACAGTTGCAAATGATTTTTTTATAAAGCATCTGCCTCATTATCATAGCGGAGCCAAGAATAATCTCTTAACCAATCGTGTTGCAATTTCTGTGGCACTACTTTCGGTTTCTTTCTTGCAGGCCCTTCGTTGGTATTTGGTCTGCAGACCTAAAATTAAAGAAAAGTTAAAATTTTTCCTACTTACAAACTTGTAATGTCTGGAACCAGACACCACAATCCAAAAGAATTTTTAGGTTTTGATGATTAATCATGACTTAATTAACACTTTTATCAGGAAAAATTGCATAATAGTGTTTGGGAAGGACATTTTTATCTTTGATTTATCGTTTTCACAATATTGACTACTTTTTAAAATAAAGGCTAAAGTAAAAAAATATAGGTCACACTTTTGGTTGAGTGCATTCTATGAAAATATCCTTGATTAGGAGGCCCTAACTTTTTTTTTAAAATTACTAATTAGTATCCTCACACACATACACAGAGGAATAAACATATCAGAAACAGGCCTCCTTACTTCTTCATTAAAGTTAAACATTTCCTTTTTTCAAATTTTTATTCTCACACACACACATATATATACACTATAGAGTGATAGGAATAAACATATCAAAAACGGGCCTCCTTACTTTTTTAACTTCTTTTTCATATTATCATACTCACATAGGAGGAATAAACATCAAAAACGGGCCTAAACTTCTTTTTCATATTATCATACTCACGTAGGAGGAATAAACATATCAGAAACGGGACCCGTCATTTTTTAACGTTTTTTTTTTTTTTTTTTTTTTAAATTTTCATACTCACATATAGAGGAATAATCGTATCAAAAATGGGCCTATTACCTCTTTTTTTTTACTTTCTTTCACATTTTCAAACGAAGTGTCAAGTGTCCTTCCAAAACGTAAAATAAAAATGCCACGGAATGAACATACCTTTATCGTCGACGAACTGTCAGTTTCATCTGGAGTCGCAACTTCAGAAATTTGTTTCTTCCTTTTCTCAGACTTGTCAGGCGGAGAGACGGATTCATCTGAGGGGGGATTAACAGGAGTCTGACCTGATTTTTCACCGCTTGCCGTAGACTTTGGCATAAAGCTTAAAATCGATCTCTGTTTTTTAACTTCCGCTTTCTGCGAGGAAGCCGCCATTTTAACCACGCTTCATCAGGCCACTTCTATGATCAGGCTGAATATCACTGTCACGCCGTCTATCATTGGTTGACTGTCCCGCGAAATGAGAGAACCGCTCAATCGCTCAACTTACTTCAGTGCAGCGGAGTCACACGAGGATTGCCGATTGGACTGTAGTCATGAAGAGGTACTATTGATATTACGACAACAAATGACGACGCTGCTTGAAACGATCTCTTACGAGGGTACATCGGAAACATCGTCGCAATATGACGACGTTAGCTACATTGTGTTAACAAGTCAATGCAGCGGACGATGCGAAGAAATTTATACCGGTGATGATTATTTAGATAAACAATTTTAGACGCCACTCTCAATGTGTCTTTTATCATCTCAAGAACAATGATAGCACCCTCACTCGGTTTGTATGCGAGAATTTTCGCATCTTAGTAATTTTTGTGCGAGAATTTTATTTTTTTGGCGAGAATCTCGCAGAATCGCGGCCTCGGCAGAACCCTGAATGTATTTAGTCTTTATTGTTTAAAATGATCTCTATTATGAAAAATATATCAAAAATAAAAATGTCCTTCCGTGACACTCTTTTATAAGTTTTCCAGATAAAAGTGTCAATAAAATCATAATAAATCATCAGAACCTAAAATTTCTTTTGGATTCTGGTGTCTTATGGCAGTGTATGAAATTCAAGGAAATTAATAGCCAGACCGCCGGGCAGGTAACTCTGAAAAGTTACCAGCCCAGCCAGGTAGTTACCTGCCCAGCCAGGTAGTTACCTGCCCCAGTTATGATAACCCTAAGAGTTAAGAGAGGTATGCTGAGGGGGTCTATCTGTACATGTAGAATGCAATCTTCGGATTGCAATTTGAAAATGATTTTAAAAAAACACTCGGTGGAGGAAATAACTCTTACTAATAATTCATGCATAACTTTTATTTATGATATCATTTGATATTAAGTTTTAATTTTCTGCACAGCAACAAGTATGGCCGAATGCAGATATTCTAGTCAAATAAATTGAACACTTTGCTGGCAATAAAGAAAGAATTCTTGTTACCATCTTAAAACAAACAAACAATTAAAAAAAAACTTCTACCAGTATCCACATTCCAACTGTTGGGTTTCCTTTTTTCCAAATCTTCATAATCATTTTAATCATCTACAAGGTCATTAAAACTGTTAAAACTGTCACAGACCAACTTACAGGAAGTGATGGAAGAATTCCTTTCCACATTCACACATGCTCAGCCCATTTAAGGAATTGCTTGCAATTTTGTAAAATATTGACCAAATCAACTTAATTATTCTGACAAAGAGTCATGTCCATTCTCTATGTCAAGATCACTGAAATCTGACTCGTAGTCAGAATCTAAGTCAGCCACTGGAGCACCATTTGTTTCAGGTGGTATGACTTCTGAAGTTGCAACCGCATTTGCTTCTTCTTCAATAACAACAGCAGCTACTGTCTTTGACCTTGTAGATGATTTTTTTACCCTGGGGTTCATGAAATATGGTCTCCTGTGTTTGTTCTCATACCAATGGTGAATTGCTTCTGTTGGATCAAATGAGGAGATATCTGCAGAGTGCATTTGTATGGTGATGAGCAGAGTCATAGTTGTTGATCTTAGTCTATTTCTGTAGTCTGTCTTCATGTTCTTCATGACTGAAAACCCCCTCTCACACTCAGAAGATCCAGCTGGCAGGGACAACAAAAGATCAATCACTGCTAATATATTTGGACATTTGGCAACATACAAACTATTTACCAACTTCCAGGTCAAGGAATGCACATCTTTGTGGCTGAAATAAAACAAAATTACCTGTGTAATGTTAGCACTACCATTGCATTGTGTTACGCCTTCGCGGCCGAGTGCCTTATGAAGGTACAAATAACAATGTACTTACTGGTATCTCAGAGTTAAACACAAAGCCAAAAAGCCTCAAGAGAAGAGCAAAAGACAGCTGCTAAGAGCAAAGAGGCCAAAGAGGCCAAAGAGACCGATTTATTTCACGTTACACCTTATATACAAGTTCAGATAGTACACGTTTACCAATCAGAATCAACTATATAGTGAACAGTTTTACCTTTAGGTTACCAATCACGGGAGAGATTCAAACTTGCACACCGGACAACACTTTACTTACAGAGACATCTACCGGTAGCAATATAAAATAATCTCATCTAACACACTACATCATCACACTCTCCCCCCTTTTGACGAACAAAACTCCCCCCTATTATTACAATATAAACAATTACTTTAAATTGTTAAACTAATAATTATTATAATTCAACAACTGAAATGGTACTTTACATTTAAAATACGCAAGTAATGCAAATAAGTCATTCTTGTTATGCCAAGATTCAACATTTATCTTTAACACAAGCAAAGTCAATCAAGTCCATCTCTCAGCATAAATGTCCATCCTTAGGAATGCAAAACAAAGTTTTAAATCCATTATCACTTTAAATCAACTTTAAAAGCAAACAAAGTGATTTTAATTCAAAGTTGCTCAAAACAACATTATTAATGATAACAATGTCAATGTGAAATGTCAAAATCATTATATAGTTCATTTTTCATCCATGTAGCAAAGTAAATTCTATCCGCCGATACCAATGACTACCGAGTTCACGATCCTCTGATGAAAGTTTTTGTAACAGATGATACAAAGTTCTCCAGTGAAACAAAATCAACAAAGAATTCAGAACCTCAGTCTTAGGCTCCATACCATTTCCATAAATGTACATTTTCACAAAATTAATGTCCTCCTCGGAACAGTTATCTGGCAACATTACTAGTCCTTCACTTTTCACATAGTCCATCAGTTCCCATATATTTCTCATATTTAATGTTAATATCAGGAAATGTATAAATCCATTCACCAACTGGATCCACAGTTTTTTCTCGAATTCACCAGTTCCACACGAATGAACATCACCATGACGTTTACGCAAAAGCGAATTGTCCTTTTCCATCGATCTGCAATACCAGCACACCAATCCTGGAGTCATATACATGTACCATGGCAAATGATCAGATTTCACATGACGTCCAAGATGTCTACTCAGGTCAGCACTGGACACCAGACACAAACCACACTGGACTTCTTTCCTCTGTTTCTTCCTTCTGCACTTTGAGTGGGTAACTTCCTCCCCCTCTTCACCAATTAGGACAGTAGGATCTTCCACCAAATCAGTGTCATCATAATCCGGGACAAAACAAGCTTCATCTAACNATACCTATATCGTCGACGAACTGTCAGTTTCATCTGGAGTCGCAACTTCAGAAATTTGTTTCTTCCTTTTCTCAGACTTGTCAGGCGGAGAGACGGATTCATCTGAGGGGGGATTAACAGGAGTCTGACCTGATTTTTCACCGCTTGCCGTAGACTTTGGCATAAAGCTTAAAATCGATGTCTGTTTTTTAACTTTTGCTTTCGGCGAGGAAGCCGCCATTTTAACCACGTTTCATCAGGCTGAATATCACTGTCACGCCGTCTATCATTGGTTGACTATCCCGCGAAATGAGAGAACCGCTCAATCGCTCAACTAACTTTAGTGCAGCGGAGTCACACGAGGATTGCCGATTGGACTGTAGTCATGAAGAGGTACTTTTGATATTACGACAACAAATGACGACACTGCTTGAAACGATCTCTTACGAGGGTACATCGGAAACATCGTCGCGTTAGCTACACTGTGTTAACAAGTCAATGCAGCGGACGATGCGAAGAAATTTATACCGGTGATGATTATTTAGATAAACAATTTTAGACGCCACTCTCAATGTGTCTTTTATCATCTCAAGAACAATGATAGCACCCTCACTCGGTTTGTATGTGAGAATTTTCGCATCTTTGGTAATTTTTGTGCGAGAATTTTATTTTTTTGGCGAGAATCTCGCAGAATCGCGGCCTCGGCAGAACCCTGCAGCCGTCTGTAAGTGGGAGAAAGTGACTTTTTTTGTTTTGTAGTAACAAATGGTTGTCACATTTGTGCTCAGCATCAAATTTTGTCTGTTATGCCTCTTACGGAAAAATTTTAAGATTTATCCTTCCCTAACAATATGTCCTAGTTAATTTGTGCTCTGTATGCAACCTAAAAAAGCGTAATATATCGAAGCACAGCCGTAATTAGCCGAGCCGAGATATAATTTGCTTTTGAATGTTGCACACAATGGATGACAAGTAGTTGTAACTTACTTATACCACGGCTGGCGATTCGAACAATAGGATGAATTCACCGAAGCGTATGAAAATACAGGCAAGTCTGTATTCAAAATACAAGTGCAATTGTTTAATTGTTTGAGTGCCAGCCATGGTATAAGGGGCATTGCGGGAATATGTACTAGTAATTGCTACCATCTAGTTAAAATTATGTGTCCCCAGAGAAAGAAAAAAAAAAGCACCAAAACCTACAGTAATGTACCATGAATTTCGCACAGAAGAAATTAATTAAAACTAGGAAAAAATTGTACGATCATTGTGCACTACATCTAGCTTTCCAAATGTTTCAAATATTTAAACATGAAAAAACAAGATTTGCTGAACACTGAGCCACACATCCTTGCTGAACAGTTTCTCATTTGTTTTTTATTCAACACCCCCCCCCCCCCCCACACACACACACACACACACACACGACTACTGCGTACCACTCCAAACATGATTACCAAATTAAGACACAATACATCAACACAAAATCAAGAAACAGTATCTACCTTCTCTGCGCTTTGGGGTAAGGGATAATTGAACCGCACATATGTGGTGACGGGCTCTATGGGGTTAACAAAGATGCAGGTCAATTCAGATAAAGCTGGCATTGGCATAAAAATAATAGGAGCACAGCCATCCACTTTTTGTTTTCAGCTGGCAGACAAATTTTTCTAGAAGAAATATATCTGGAAACCAGTTCTAAGTGGCTTTTTCCACCAGGTGCAAAATGCAGTGGATCTGAAAAACAAAACAATGAAAATATTATTTTACAAATATATCCTTGCTTATCGATTTCTGAAAACTATAAAATTTACCCAGATGAAAGGCTTTATCATTAGCATAGTCCTATCTAGTAATGTTAAGATTCATATTTTTTTCAAGCTAATTACTGTATTACAAAAATCACTTTGATAGGAATACTAAACAAATTAATAGTTTTTGAAGAGAAAATCACTGCATCATATAATAAGCCAAATTTAGGTTTTTCCTCAAGAGAACTACTAGTAATTAACCATGTAAAGAATGACAAATCTAAGGCAAAGGCATTGTACTGTATCTCATTTACCTCCAAGCCATTACTAGTATACTTAGGAAATACATGACCCTACTAAGGCAAGCACATCTTGGGGAATCTAGACACCAGTCACTTGGTTATTAGAGGGTTTTCCTTTCCCAGTCTGTAGTAGGTGCTGGCACTCACTGGATTGATTCTGTTCCGTCCCTAGTCAAAGTCTGTGAGCAGGACATCTTGTTAAATTCAGTACTTCATTCTCGAAAAATTTTCAACATTTAAAATTTCATTCTTTTCTTGCTTATATCGCAAACAATCTCTCCCTGAGATATGAAAATTGCCTTCTCATCTCACTCGGAGCTGGAACGATCTCCCGCTGACGTTTTTACATTTTGGACAGCAATCGATATTATTGAAAGCATTACAACTGACAAATAGGTAGTGCATGTGACTCCTATTTACCCCTTGAAAACACACCTTGTGCAAACCTTGTGTATATGAGCCAGGTGAAAATAATGGCACAAAAGACAAATGGCCGGCGTTTCCCACAATTGAAAAAGGGAATCCAACATCTACACCATCTATTTTGTAAGTAGCCGCTCGCAGTGGCGCAGTATTGTTCTTTCCATCCATTGAGAGTGTGATCGTCAATGATGCCTTGTTCATTGTCTTGAGTCAGCTGACGCATTACCTTTAAGTTTGAGCTGGAAAAGATGGACTTTTACTAGTTACATATTTTAAAATCCATTTACCTGTTGATTAAGGATAATTAAAATATGGTGTTAAATTTGCTGTTAAGCATGATTTATTGTTGCATAAAAATTGACAAAAATCCTATTTTGTGCATCATTTTTTAAATTTATTTTTGTTTTTTGTCAGTACATTTGCCATCTCAGCTGGCTTGTTGACTTCTTTGCTCTAGGAAAATTCAGTTTGGCAAGATAACCTCGAACATGACATAATGTTAAACCTGCCACCCCAGTTATGGGGTGCTTTCAAGTGATTTCTTTTCCTCCAGAGCTTCTCTTCCATAGTAGGACCCAATGGAAGTGGCAAGTCCAATGTGATAGACTCCATGCTTTTTGTCTTTGGTTATCGTGCCAACAAGATCCGCTCCAAGAAGATTAGCATTCTTATTCACAGTAGTGAGAACCACCCCAACATCAACAGCTGCTGCGTAGCTGTGCACTTTCAGAAGATTACAGATACAGGGGTAGGTCAGCATGAAACACTGACATTGTACCAGTTACTATCACAATTACTGTCACACCAGCAGAGGCAGTGTCTGGTATATACATGGGTAAATTATCATGAAACCATCAGGGGCGGATCCAGAGATATTTTCTGACAGTCTTCCATATTATATTTGTTGATCCATCCTCCATTTTTGACCGTCTTCCGACAAAAAAAATGTCAATGGAAACCGTCAATGGAAACCGTCAACCCGTCAATGGAAACTTGAAAATCTGACCGTCTTCCGGAAGACCCAGAAGACGGCCTAAATCCGCCCCTGACCATGGCATTGTACCAGTTCTAATATCACACTAGCAGAGGCAGTGTCTGTCTGGTGACAATTAGCCACATTGTTCTGATAATGATTGTACAGTACAAGGCTGTTGAACTGTTTTAATGCTTATTTAAATTTTAATTGATTCCAGGACTGTCTTAGAAACAGTGATTAATGACATGGTTTGACCTTTCTCTCAGGAAGATGATAAATTGTTTTATGTTCTATTTGTCACAGCTGGGAGATGATGACTATGAAGTTGTCCCTAACTCCAACTTCGTGGTGTCAAGAACAGCGTTCCGTGACAACAGCTCCTACTACCAGGTGGATGGGAAGAAAAAGACATACAAAGAGGTGGCGACACTTTTGAGAGGAAGTGGCATTGATTTGGACCACAACAGGTTTCTTATTCTACAGGTAAGGTAAATGTACTGTATATATCTGATTTGAAGAGTGTGTGTATTGTAATTTACTGTATCTTTCTGACTCCCAGGCTCAGTAGTGCAATTTGCTGCATATTTTTGACTACCAAGGTGTGTGTAATGTAATTAACTGTAAATTTCCAGGGTGTAGGGCTTAATTTTTCTAAAACACCAAATACCACTGTTGCACTTCGAGAGTTTATTATCAGGCACACAATCAGATGCAATTAACAATGAGTAACAAACTGTGACAATGAGTTACACAATCGAAGTTTTACAGGCCAGAAGGGCCTGGAAGAATTCTCCAATCCAATAGTAGGGTTAGGAAGAATAAATAACATGAAATTAAATAACTAAATAAATAAATATTAATAAATAAACCAAATTAATAATTAAAACTAAATAAATAAATAAAATGAAATAAATAAATAATAATACAACTTAAAATCAATTGAATTCATTAAATAATACGTAAATCAAACACATATGTAAACACACAAAGGCCTTGTTGCGTTCTATTGCTCATTTCTAGGCAGTTTTGATACAATTTTTTCCAGGAAAAACAGCTTAGTGGGCACAGATGTCTCTAAGTAAAGTTTGTAGGCGTCAGAGCGCCAGTCACCCATCATTTGAATTATTTCCGCCGGCACTCCGCACGAGAAAGCCCACGACGCGCCACCCCGACGGAAACTGTGTCCGGAGAAATCCTGGGCCGTCCGACCCAGGCGCGACAGTACTTGGTGCAGTTTGTTCACAAAAGCAGGCTGCGTAAGCGTAAAGTTTTGTCCATATATCCAACAAGAGAATAGTGGGCTATCGCTGGGAATGTCCTTAGCATTTAGGAGTACCCTGGTCATGGCCGTAACCGGGCATAGTGGACTGCCCTTAACATACGGTAGAGGGATCTGCAATTGTCTCTCGCGAAATTGAATGGTTTTGGTGCCTCTGACCAGCAACAACAATCCTACATTTGTAAACGACACGTCCCGTTTTTTAAAATGGTGCCCAACACTGGTCCTGTGCAGTGGTAAAAGATTGGCTTTCCGGAAAAAACCAAAAAACGCTACTAAGCACGCAGCCCAAAATAACATATCAAACGCACAATGAGCTTTTAATTGTCTGTACATATCCAACAGGATCTCCGGCGTTATAGGCAGTTTCCGTCGAGTCGCCATTCCTTTGTCGCGTTGGATGCCGCGAAGCAATGTTTTTAGTGCCCAGTTATTTTGCAGCGGGTTTTCCAACCCCATCTCTAGGTGAATAATCCTGATAACAGCGAGGTATTTGGGAATGGAACTTGCTTGTACCCTCTCAGCTAAATGCGCCACATAGCGACATATTGTCAAGTTGTCCACCGGGAAGGCCACGTACGACATAAAAGTGCAAAATTGGAAGTAGGATCTCAAAAAGGAAGTGTATGTCTTTTTAGTGCTGTCGGCGTAGCATAGTGTTCTATAGTGTTGAATCTTTTGATCTAGGCGCTTTTCACACTCGCTCTGACCACCTGTCAACAAACAAGCGTAACGCATTAAATGACATATGAAATTTTAGAAAAACCTCTATATCCTCATCGTACTTGGGAACAGGGATTCCACCACTTATAATGCTGAACCAGTAAAGAAAATGTCCTTTTTTGTCCATTCTAGATATTGAGTCGGCCCAGGTGTTCCTCTCTCCTGGTATATGTATGCACTCCAGCATGAAGTTGTGAATCACCGATAGCCAAAATACTAGTCGCAGTTGCGCCATAATAATAGGATCTCGTGTTGCTCCTTTGTTTATTGCTGCCTTTGTTGTCGTGTTGTCCGTGTAGATAACAACGTGTTTGTTTTCCCACGTAGGCGCCCATCTGTGAATCGCTGCAATAACACCCAACGTTTCCNGCCTTATGCTTGTTACACATTTTACTTACATTGGTATTACCTGTTGAGCATAATTAAAATTTGATGTTGAATTTGCAGTTTAACATAATGTACTTTTGCATCAGAATTGACAGTAGCCTATTTTGTTATTTCCTGTTTTTTGTCTGTACATTTGACAGCTTTGCTGCCTTGTTATTGATGTGGAAGTCCTGAGCGTACGGGGCGTCTATCCTCCAATTAACGTAAGCCCAGTCGTTTCCGCTCACCATGCCAGCTCCTTTGTCAGAAGCATCCGTGAACACGTGTGTAATTGGTCTCTCTGGTACAATTAATTGCTTGCAGTTGAAGACTTGTAAACATTGCTGCCACCAATTAATATCGCCGCGAAAAGCATCGTCCAGCTTTGCTTTGTGTTTTGCCTTCTTTAGTGGTCTTAACGTATCCAATATCCGTTGAAGATAAGCTCTACCCCCACGGATTATTGCGCAAGCCCACGCTAATTTGCCAGTTAATTGCTGCAGTTGTTTTAAAGACGCTCGTCTTTTGCTTTGAAAAGAGTCTAGCATAACTAACATTTTTTCCACTTTATCTTCTGGTAAAGCCATAGAAATGTCTCTTGTATTAAGAAGGATGCAGAGGAAAAACTAATTCTGTTGTGGGACCCTCCACCTTGTCCCAGGCAATACTAAACCCCAGTTTTCGTAACAGTTTAATTAGAGTGTTCATTGCCTTAATGCATTGATCTCTAGTCCGCTCTAGTATCAAAAAATCATCCAAATATACAACTATTTTGAATCCTCTTTTTTCCATCATGCGCCTTATAGATTGAGAAAGCCTATGAAATATCCCAGGTGATTTTTTCGACCCAAACGGTAGTGCAGTGTCAAATAAATAAGTATAATTTCTGCTGCCCTCGAATTTCCACTTTAAACCCGTAAATTTGTACTGTGATGGATGTAGGGGTACGCTGCGATATGCCGATTTCAGATCCACCTTCGCCAAAAAGTATTCAGGCCCAATTAGTTTTGTCGCATCCTTGATACTTTGGTACTGTACTTTCTCCAAGCTAGTAACATAGTCATTAACCGAACTGCCTTGAGGCTGACTGCAGTCGTGTATAAGTCTTACTTTCCCGTTAGCTTTCCGTACCACATTTAACGAACTTACAATGTCTGGTTTGGTGTCCGAAATTATATACCTCCTTTCGTCTATTTCAGCTCTTATTTGTTGTTCAACTTCTATTTTGAAGATTGCAGTCATTTTTGAGTTATTAATTTCAGTTATTTTGTCCACTTTCTCCGCATCCACAATTTTGAAACCGTTTTTTATTCCGTCTAAAAGAAACTGTTCGTCTTCGTCTCCCTTGAGTTCTGCCTCCCATTCCTCATATCGCAGTGGTTGGCTAGTGATCACCGTATTTAGTTTCCCTGTCCGTTACTTTTGGCTGGTTGTTGTCCATCTTGCCCGGCGTGTTGAGACAGAGGATGCGGCTTCCTACAGTTAGGAGCTAGGCAGACATGTTCGTAGCGGCAGGCTCGGCCGTAAGGGCACTGTCCTCTGTTGAATAAACTGCACACGGTGCCTTTCTGAAAATTGTCCTTCCTAACGATCCCGCTAGATGGTATCTTCGGTCGAAGGTGGATAGCGTATAGGTGGGGGCTATCGCTGCCCCAGCGAAATTTGTGGGTCGCCTGCAAGTCCCTGTACGCCTTGTCAAAAAGAATTACTGAAACCCACTGATAGGTCTCCGCCAGCTGGCCAATTTTCACTGTATGAGATAGATAGTCAAAAAGGCCACTTTGATTCAATTCGCCTGTCGTGAGTAGCTTCGTAAGTATGCGTACGTTCGCCGTGGCCCATTGGATCTGCGAGACGCTCTCCAGCTTCATCTTCTTGGGTCCACTCTTAATCACAACCTGGGTGCCGTCCCCGTTCCCAAGTACTTGTTCTACTACATCTGTATCATTAGCTTGCACATAATCTACTATCTGTAAAGCTTTACTTGCCGGAAGACTGAATAAGTAATTTGTTGGATTCAGATCTACCCGCTCACCTTCCGTGGGCCCTGGAATGCGGAGCTGAGGTTGACTTCTCATCCCATTGCTTGTGCCTGCCTGGTTTCCAATCAGGTTTGCTAGTCTCTCGTTCAGATCATCCCCAGTCTGCAATCTGGCCTCCGTGTCTCTGCTCTGTGCCTGTTGAAGCTCGGCGTTGGGACCTCCTTTCCATCCGTTATTGTCCTCAATCGCTGCCTCCAGTAACCTCCTCTCTGCCAGGAGTTGAATATTCAGAGCTCCTATATCATCTGCCTTCAACAACTTTAAGGCTCTCTCTGAGGTGAAGCCATTTTGGGCTAGTATGGCTTTTGTTGACTCCCCCAGGCCGTATTTCCCACAGAAATCATTTAACTTCGACATGATGGCAGTCTCCGACGCTTCTGTTGTTCGGTTTACGTTCAATTCGCCGTTCTCCTCTTCCAATACTCCCGGGGCCACTGCCTGTGCTATATTCATTAAATACGTATCCCAGGATAAATCGTCTACTCTGGTCCTACCGTCGCTCATATCATTCACCGTTGATCACAAAAGTCTAATACTGCTTCGCTATACTCATGCTTAACCTCCCGCCGCTGCTTCGCAAATGCCGTTTAAACCTGGTGCTGTGATCACTAACCACCACTGCGCATGTCGGCCCGCGTATCGGTACAGAGATTGTGGCGCCACCTGCCCAATGCCCGGATGTATTAAACTAAGCTTAACTCCCGAACTGCACACGCGCCGTAGTATTTGTGTTTTACGCCATTTCAATTGAAATTAACAATAACTTGCCATCTTGACGAGTGCCTCATGGCTGGAATTCACCAAAGCCTTCCAGCAACCCCCAACATTTTCATATGCCACAAATGCATTATAGTATGTTTTAATGAAAAATGGTCAAAATTAGTTTATTATCAACACAAAATAATTTTGATGTTACACAAATAGTACATGTTAGAGGTTGTAATCCAGTGGGAGTGCAAACACTTGAAACTTGCTAGCTGCTACTCAGTCTCTTCTGCATGGAAAAAAATGACTTCCTAGTCCGGACTCCGTGAAATCAAAATCTAAAATAATAATATTAATACAAAACTGTAAACAGTAAGTGTAAGTGACAACATCAATAACACTGTTCAACAGGTTAGTGCACTGATTGGGTTCAAGCTATCTGAAAAAAGAAGAATCTCATATCATGATGTTGACCTCAGTCCCATGCTTTTGACGCTGTTCATTTTCTTAACAAGAATAAATAATAGAATGTCTACATACCTTTCTCACTATCTTGGCTACTAATATTAGTACCAAGTGTTCTTGAGAAAGGAATCGGGTGTCAAAATAATAACAGTAAACATTCTCCCTGACCTGTTCACACATGCTTGGCAGCATGGACTGCTATCTTGAGAACTGTGTGCATATTGCAATCAATAGAGCAACGACAGCCTTTGTAATGTTGGGAGCAGGGAGAATCCCCAAACCAAACTCATATAAACAGCAGCTTTTTTCTTCCTTTTAATTTGCTGGTAAGGATTTATAATAATGATTTTATTTTAAATTATAGTCTGAATTATCTTAAGTGCATTTCATACCTTTTGGGCATGTTTAATGTGGCAAGTCGTTTGTTTGCAGTACTTGCAAAACGGTGTTAATTCTTGCTGTGGTTAGTTGGTGAGTGATATTTCTGACTACCAGGGTGAGTGTAGTGAAATGTACTGTATATTTCTGACTACCAGCTAGGGTGTGTGTAATGTTCTAAATATTTCCAATTCCCATTGTGTGGGTAGTGAATTGTAATGTTTATTCCCGACTTCCAGGGTGTGCGTAATGTAGCATGCAGTATATTTTTTAATCCTAGATTGTGTGCAGTGTAATATACTGTATATTTCTGACTCCTAGGGTGAAGTAGAACAGATAGCAATGATGAAACCCAAAGCACTAACAGAGCATGATGAAGGGATGTTAGAGTTTCTGGAAGACATAGTAGGCAGCAGCCGCTTCAAGGAACCCATTGACCTTCTCAGCAAGAGGGTGGAAGAGTTAAATGAACTCAGGGCAGAGAAGGTAGATACTGTTTCTTGATTTTGTGTTGATGTATTGTGCCTTAATTTGGTAATAATGTTTGGAGTGGTACGCAGTAGTCGTGTTAGGAGTTGAACACAGATGTCTTGTTTGGGAGTGGTAAGCATAAGACATGTTTGGTGAAATATTTTACTTTTCTCTAAAAGAGAGACAGGATAACAAAAAACCTGGTTCACTTCTAATTTTACATAATTCAAAGTGTTTAATTCATATTTTTTCCTATTTTTTGGAGATTTTCCTATTTTCTTGAAAATTTCCTTTTTTTATGTACAGACACAGATGTGTCTGTACATATTGCCATCACCTGCATCTGTCGTAGCCGTCGCTGTCGCCGATGCCAATGCTGTTGCCAGCACCGTGCACTTTCAGCGTAAACACGATAAGTGGAACACAGTTTTACGTTTTGGTTTTATATTTACAGAGCTGATGAATATTCATAAAACGCAGGTCAAGTTCGAAAATCAGCATGATCGGGCCACTATAGTAGAAGTTATGCTGTTTTTTCACTTTTCAGCATATATGCAACCCTGTAAACACATTTTAAGGAAAACCGTTAGGCCTGTTGTCATGAAACTCACAGGAGTAATCATTCTTACTAAAACAAAGGTCAAGTTCGAAAATCGGCATGATTGGGCCACTATTTTAGAAGTTATGCTGTTTTTTCACATTTCCTGAGATTCAATTCTTAGGCATGTTAACAGTCTCATTATTGAACTAATAAGATACGTAAAAGTGTTTGTTTTCCTGCATTTTTACAATATTGTTAGTTGATTATGTAAAAATTATGGTAAACTTGTTATCGTGTTTTGTGTAATAAAGTGTCAAAAATGGAAATAAACTCATATTATTGCAGTTTGTCAGATTCAATCATCCACTATGTTCAGAATCTCAGAATGGAGGAAATTGGACATTTAACACTGTTCTATTGATATTTTTACAATCTCATCAATTTTCTTAGTTGATCATATAAAAATTGCAGTAAACTGTTTATTTTGTTTTATGTTAAAAAAGTGTTAAAAATGGAAATAAACCCATTTCAGAACAGTGCTGTCTTGTTTACATTTTGGCATTTTCAAGGTGTGACTTTGAAGTTCCATTGGCCTGAAGACCTTTGCTAGTCAAGTTTTCTGAATGTCCATGTTACTAATATTTTATTATTAAAAATTGATGGTCATTATGCTGTTAAACATTATGTAATGTTGCATCAAAATTTGAAGAAACCCATATTTTGGGCACTGCTCCCATGATGACCATTTAAAGAAAACAATGTCACTTACTGTTCTCAAACTTACAGGAAAGAAACATGGGACTAAAATACAGCTTCAGTAGGCAATGCAGTCTGTTTGGTAAATTTTTCTGGCAATTAAACAGTTTTTTGTGAAAATTTAATTTTTCACATATTGGCATTTTCAAGGTGTGACTTAGAACCTCCACGGGCTTGAAGACTCATGATAGTCACATTTTCTGAAAATCCATGATACATTTATTTTATTATTAAAAATTATTGGTCATTATGCTGTTAAGCATTATGTAATGTTGCATCAAAATAGAAGAAAACACAATTTTGGGTGCTGCTGCCATGATGACCATTATGGGAAAACCATGTTACTTATGACTGTCAAACTTTCAAAAAAGAAACACAGGACTAAAATGCAGCCTGAGCTGGAAAAGCAGTCTAATTGGCTTCTTTTTTCTGGAAGTTATACATTTAAGTGAAATGTTCATTATTATTATTGTTTTGGCATATTCATTGTGGGACTCAGAGCTCCCATGGATATGAAGCTGAATGGTAATCAAGTTTTCTACATTTCCATGCTATTTTTAGTCAATTATCAAAAATTGGTGATAATTATTCTGTTATTTATTATGTAATGTTATATCAAAATTGACAAAAATCTTTTTGCACTGCTATTACAAATATTATGAAAAGAATACTGTGTTACTTATAATTATTTTTAACTTACAAGTATGATTTTTAGGATTGGCATGCAGTTCAAATTAGAAAGCCAGCTCAATTGGGTTATCATTTATTATTGAATTTATGCAGTTTTGTGTGAAATTTTCATTTTTCTCATTCTGGCATTTTCAAAGTGTGAACTTGAACTCCCATTGGCCTGAAGCCTTATGCTTGTTACACATTTTACTTACATCAGTATTACCTGTTGAGCATAATTAAAATTGGATGTTGAATTTGCAGTTAACCATAATGTACTTTTGCGTCAGAATTGACAGTAGCCTATTTTGTGCATTGTTATTTTCTGCTTTTTGTCTGTACATTTGACAGCTTTGCTGCCTTGTTTTTTTACCCTGTTTACACTACAGTAATTAATTCGAATAAAGTGCAAATTAGGTCCCGATTTGAATAATTGTAGAAGTCTGAATGCGTGAGGATATTTGTTAACCAGTTTCGCATAATCCTGCTATCGAGCTGGATTTTCTTCAGCGATTCGAAAAACTTACTGAAACCGTCACATGTACAGATCTTGCATGCAAGCAATGTGTAAAATGAGTAAAGCAGTGTTTTACAAAATTGTTAATCTGTGTCAGAATGGCAAATTGTCAACAGAATCAATGCCCTTAGCAAACACCAAATCGGTTTTAGCAGGTTAGAATACCAGATGACCTCTGAGGAAGCTACTGTACACAGCAAAACGTTGTTTGTTTCTCTGATGCACTGTCTGTGGACTCTGACCATTTCTGGGTAGAACACTGTAACTGCGTGGCTTTTTTTTATTGAGGTCAGATTTTACCTATACTGCTCAACTAGTCAAAACAGAGTATACAGACATCCTGAAGGGGTTGAAGGGACAAAGTGTGTGCCACGTCTTGACACTACTGCATCTGATTTGGTCTTAAAGTGCAATTTCAGATCACACATTATCTTACACGGTCTTAATTATTACAGTTAAATTCTTAAAATGGATTGAATCTGCTTTTAAGGTAGCAATTAACAGGGGTAGCTATCTTCTAAACCGGCCAAGATAAACCAACATGTTACATATCAATAGAAAGCTTATTTCGACAGCTTTTCATTTCATATCCTTATTTTATTATGTAATCGTTACGTAATGAGATATTATGCTTAATAGGTGTGCTCAACATGATCTTTACACCTTAAAAACTAGAAGTCCACTACAAATGGACATGTGTAGACAGCTTGCCTCGTGAGCCCTCACTGGGATCAAGAAGAATGCGCCTGAAATTAGCGATATGTGTTAAATTAGCAGAGATATCAAAATAAACCTGTTTTCCAGTTCAACGCAACCCCCTAGCCTAACTAAAGCACACGTAAGTTGAAAAAAGAGCTGATGTTATGAAATCCCAGCCACACATTTTCAGACAAACCTTAGATCTAACGAATGAATGCCAGCTTTCATCGGTTGAGAGTTCTAATTAATTTTGACACTGCTCTAAATCGTTGTCTTGAAGCCATAAACTGAAGCGGAGAAATCAGCCTTTTAGTGCTCCCCAGAGATTCCAACGTTATATAATCAGTGAGCTGCATTGGCAAGCTGAGAAATTTAGTTATTTATACTGGTTCAGCCCTCTACTCACTGCCTATGTAACTGTCACTATGTCTTTCATCCATTTTCAACATTATTATTGAACATTTTCAACCGGAGGCCCCCTCCATGCATTGACAACAGCCACCATGTTAGTCGTGACATCAGCCTTCTTCACCACGTGACACCTAGGGGGAGTGCCTTTGCCCATATACGTCTCATCTATATGTCTGCTTTTTAGAGCTTTAGTAGATCGTCAGAATTAAGTTCACTGATAAATTCAAAATGAAAAGTATTGTTTGGCAAGTGAAAGCGGGAGGTTACTCACAGAATGTGAAAGGCTTAGCAGCAATCTAGTACGGGAAATATACAGCTGCACAGTGGAGCTGCCAATCAAACACATATATGGACAAGTGTGACCTACTTTAAAACTCAGACATGCTACCACAGGGGTAAATCAGCAATTAGGCTAAAATTACGGGTTTATTTGTAAACTTCCATTATTTTAAGATGGGCTGATATGTAGTTGATATTTCATCTATTTAATACTGACAAATTCAGAAAAACACCCACATTTTGGCCATTTACTGTTAATTGCATCCTTAAAATCAAAAATAATCTTACATCTACTAAGTGGTCAAGCAGTTTCCTTGCTTCACAATGGGGGATACCTCTCCTCACAATGGAGAACACCTCTGCTGCCAATAGGAGAACGTGTTAAGGGAGACAATTGCATAACAACTTAATGTTAAGTCAGTCCAGTAATGATCTTACTCATGATTTAAGATCATGTAAGATTATTTATAATCTGAAATTGTACTTTAAGACCAAATCAGGTGCACTAGTTTAAGTGGCTAAGGTCACTGACAGCGTCAGTATTTGGAGTGGTTACCACTTGGTGCCAAAACACCAATGGTAGGCATTGATGAAAACCTGAACCACATCCAATAAAAGAATAATTTGGGAACCACTTCACTATCATTTGATAGGTGGCACCTTGGGAACAATTTTAGGTTGCACGATGAGATTGCCACTTCACATTTTTAATAGCAGATAACTTACGGAACCAAGGGAATGAGCAGCTACCTTGGTCATCGCCATATTTGAACCACATAGACAAGATGTAAGTAGGTCATTACTTGCTGAATCAATGACCTGCATTTTCTACAACAAAACTGAACCAAATAGGACAAGTTTTGACCTATGCCTGGAATGTTATTCCAGTTTAAACTCCCAAAAACCTATACCAAGGAATGCCTTGCCATTTGAGCAAGCCAAAGTGTCAGGGCACTATAAAGCTAGCTTGCTCTCTATAACTTTTCGATACAGAGGGGAAAAAAAAACATTTGCTCCTGAAGATATAAACACAATACACGTGTTTGCCATGTGCCAAGTTTGACAGCTACCTGTATGTCCGATACCACTATAAGGACTGTGCAATGACTACACTAAAAGTCAGTTTTTAAAGCAGAAAGGTGCTTTAGTTGTGGCACTGATTTTAGATTGCAAAGTATTCTTAGTTCAAACTTAAAACTCCGCATCTTTGCTTCTTTGTCTTGTCTGCACAAGATGACATCAGCGCTAGGCGGAAAAGGCAGCTCCAGGCGGGACAGAGCAGTGATATTCTAGACACGACTAGGCATGACTTCCAAATATGGAAGCACCCCAGGCAAAAGTTTCCTGAACAAGCCTCCAGTCAGCTGCTGGTATCTAGAGTCAGTATTGCTGATATGGGTTATATATGGAATCGAGATCAAGCTGGCAATACTGAAATCTGGAATCTAGGGTACCATGATGACAATCAAAGGAAAACCATGTTACTTATTTTTAAATTATTGGTTTTCTTTTTATCAAGAGCTTATAAAATATGCGGGTATTACCTCCAATATTTCTGTGACTGTCAGTCACCATCATCAGGGAGTAAATGACTAGGGTCATTTCACCTGGAATGAAAATCCAGGTCAGTTGCCCCTAATCACTGGCCTTGTGTTGTAACTGTAACATCCCCCCAGACAGTCACAGAAATATTGGAGGTAATACCTGCATAATTTATAAGCTCTTGATAAAAAGAAAACCAATAATTTAAATTTCATACGTACAGACCTAATGAAACTGTTCTCTCATGTTACTTATGATTCTCAAACTTGCAAAGAAGAAGCATGGGACTAAAGTGTAGCCTGAGATGGAAAGCAGTCTAATTGGTTTATTTTTCTGGAAGTTATACATTTTTGTGAAATTTTCATTTTCATTTTCATCATTTTTGAGCTTGTCATATCGAATGTCTGTCAGATTTTTTTTGCCTTTGTGAAGCATGGAAGTCATATTTGGAGTGGTATGCAGTAGTGGTCTTTTGGAGTGGTATTCAGTATTCATTAGTAGTGTTTTGAAGTGAAACGCAGCAGTTGTGTTTGGATAAGTGTGCAGTGTTTTATGTGATGGTTGTGTTTTGGAATGGTATGCATTAGTTATGTTTGGAGTTGTGTTTGGAGTGGTACACAGAATCTCAATTTTAGAGTAGTAAGCAATAGTCGTGTTTTGAAGTGTATGCAGTAGTTGTGCTTGGAGTGGTATGCAATAGTGGTGTTTGGTGTGTACTGTGTAGATACCCTTAGTTCTCATCCAGTTTATGTGTTCTAGTTAAACAGAGTGAAGGCTGTGGAAAAGGACAAGGATGACCTGCAGGGGGACAGGGACCTAGCAGTACAGTACCTACAGATGGAGAATGATATCACTAGGCAGAAGAATGTGGCTTATCAGCTTTACATGTAAGACAAATGCTGGAAGGTCTTTCAAGTAAAAATGAAAATGCAAACATTGTGTGGATAGTAAGGTCTGCTAAATATGGCCATGATAAAGTTTGGTCAATGAATATGTAGATTGAGTTATTTCTAATAAATAAAGCATGAAAAATCTAGAAGAAATATTCAGAAATAAATAGCTATGATCCCTTGGTTAACTATCTTGATAATCTCTCCTGTTGCCACGTTTCAGTCTCGAGACCAGTGGCAACATGGAGAGGGCCCAGGCCAAGTGTGATGAAGTAGGGGCAGGCCTGAAGCACTATGAAGAGAGAATTCAGGCCATCAGGGACCAGAATAAAGAGAAAAAAAATGAGCATGAGAAACTGTTTAAGTAAGTTGGCATGACTTAATATTTGGTTTAGTTGATTTTTATTATCCACCTATTCTAGTCCCTTATATCTCCAAAACTGGCAGAGTTAGGCCCATAGTTACTACTGAACTTGAATAAGAAGTCATATACTGGCAATCCAACTATGATATTGAAATTGACCTTTGACCTTCTTTTCGCCATGAACCGCACTTCACAAATTTGGATTTTAACTTTTACTTTTCCCCATGATTTTGTTTTAAATGGATATTTTCAACAAAAGTATTGAGAACTTTTGTTTACTGCATTTTGTAGAGCTTGTCAAGCACAACACTGGAGGTGGTGTCTCATTTTTTGCTTTTCCATACAAATGTGCTTACTCCAGCTGGTGGTACAATACCCGGAGGTGGTATCGACTCTCTCATCCTCTAGTTTTTATCCAGTTCTCTGAGTGGAATCAAATAGACCCCAGTTGTTATGTTGCTCTTCTGTCAGTTAATTGTGTCCCATTGTTATCTCGCAAATGCCATAGCAAAATGAGCAGTTAGTAAAGGAAGAGAGCAATGACATGATCTAGTTTTAGGCATCATTGTTCTATGTATATAGGCCTACTTTTATGAAGTTATATCCTTTTATGATTATGACCCCATTCCCATAGATTTTAGATCGATCTATCCCTGTGGGGAGTCTCACTAGATTACTGTCAGCTTAGCCAGCTTAAGCGCCTGCCCCGCCTACTAAAAGCTGTAAGGGGGTAATTAACTATGGTGCGTGCTCGGCTGACTGCAATTTAGCGTGAACCCCCAGGGAGTTAGTTCGATTTAAATCTAAATCTCTGGATTGATCTTAATCTCTGGGAATGCACCCTATGATGGTTATTCAATGTTGTGTGCATTGACTGCTGCAGGCATTATGAAGAGCTGTGTAAGAAATGTGATGATTGTAAGAAGAAGTTTGATGCCCTGGAAACTAAGGATGTTAAGAACCGAGAGGACCTAAAGCATGCCAAAGGCAAAGCAAAGAAACTTGGCAAGGCAGAGGAAGCAGAGAGACACAGGGTAAGAACCAGGACAGGCTGATGGCACAGATTTCGGTGCCTTGGAATGCACACACACACACAAAAAGTGCGGTTTGCAAAAAAATTTAACTTCAAATAATACATGAAGATAAAACAGGCTTCATTACACCAATAAGAAAAAAAGCATGGGATTTCAAACGTCATTGTAAAAAGACTTCAGCATTTAGCCTGAACCTTTATAATCAGGACTTTTGCAATTCTTTTAGAATGTATACAGGCTTCTGGTCATACTCTTACTCCATATGGATGTAAAACCTGAAATATGTTACTTTAATTTCATTAATCTTTGAATCTTTGGTGGTCAATGTTGTTTGTAGCTTGAGGAGCTGAGACAGGTACCAGAGAAGAGCCAACAGGACATTGAGACCAACAGCAAGTGGCTGGAGAAGCTGGAGGAGGTGAAGGCAGAGGTGGAGGCCAAGATGGCAGAGATCCATGGCAAGGTGAAGGAGGAGACGGCAGGACTTCAAGGGGAGAAGGAGATCAAGGAGACCGAGCTAATGGAACTTCAGAAAAATGTCAATGAAACCAAGTCAAAGGTAGTATAACACAAGTCAGAGCTGGCCCCCGTTTCACAAAAAAACTTAAGTCGGTTTCCCTGACTAAGAGCATGGTTACCAATGTAATTAAGTCGTAACGTCACTAAGTCCCGTTTCACAAAGAATCTAAAAGGTCGCTTACGTCGTTTTTTTCTTAGCTGCTAGTCAACTATGTCTAGCCTCCTCCATAGGAGACTTAAGTCAGCAAGCTCATCTAAAAGTCAGTAAATTACAGCATAAACAACAAAAAATTGGAAAGAACATACCTCCTTCACGATATAGTGTTATAATGTCCTTGAATAGCACTGACATTTATTGAATATATAGATAAAAAATAAAATACACCTTCACCCAGCCGATTTTTTTGACCGCTAGATGTGCAACAGCAGTATCCCAAGACAAGCTAATGTTTTACTTTGTTTATGTTTTGACTGATCTTTATTGTTGATAAACGATCATTCTCGGCCGAAAGAGGTCATGAAACGTCATGTCTTGTGAAACTTCAGAAATTTTACACCTCCTTTTCTCGAAGAGTTTCGCGTGCGCGTCGACTACGGAAAGCACACCAAGCTCAAACGTTTGATTCTTTGTGAAACACTCCTAGTCGACTGCAGTGCAGTCGACCTAGCTAGGTCACTCAGCTCGAGCTAGTCAACTACGGATTTAAGATTCTTTGTGAAACGGGGGCCTGGACATTTTTATATCTGAGTTCTATTATTTCTGTATGAGGCAGCCCAGTCAAAGCTGAACTTTTATATGAGTTTGATTATTTCTGTATGAGGTGGCCCAGTCTGAGCTGAACTTTAATATGAGTTTGATTATTTCTGTATGAGGTGGCCCAGTCAGAGCTGGACATTTATATCTGAGTTTGATTATTTCAGTATGAGGTGGCCCAGTCAGAGCTGGACATATATCTGAGCAACCAGAAGTCAGAGACCAACAAGCTCAGAGATATGGAAAATGGCCTTGAAACAGCTACCAAAACAATCAGTGAAAGGAAAGAGTAAGTCAGTTATCATCTAAATTTATAATAAGGAGAGACAGTTTTTCTAATTCTTTTGTAACCTAGTGTAATCAAGCCATTTTGCTTCTTTTCCCATCTGAAATTTTAACTATATCTTTATCTGTATCTTCTGATTGACTTATTTGGAATTCATCTGAAAATTTACAAACAAATGTAGACAAAATGACTAATCTTCTTTAAGCTATCTTAAAATTGATTTTGTTCTTTACTCTGTGGTGTTCCTGACACTGATGTGACATATGACGAGGGGCTTCCATTCATTTTTTTTTTTTTTTTTTTGCTTAGGTCAGTAAAGCTTCTAGAGAGAAGTATACCAGAGACAGAGGCAGCACTACAGAAAACAAAGAAGGATTTGGGGGCTGCAACAGCTTTAGAAAATCAACTAACAGCTGAGGTGAGGGGAACTTGTAGAACCACTACACTATTGTGGACATGCTTGTCCTTCTGTAGATGTTTGACTGGATGGGCTTAACAGTGAAACTGGTCAGTTTGGACAAGGCAGTCAGGTTATGAAATCAGGAGTACAGGTTACAAAATTCTTGATTCAACATTTGGTACAATTTCTAAAGTGATTATGTTCATTTTTATGTACAGACACAGATGTGTCTGTACATATAGCCATCATCTGCGTCTGTCGTCGCTGTCGTCGCCGTGCACTTTTACCGATAACACGATAAGTGGAAAACCATTTTACCTTTTGACTTGAAACTTACAGAACTGATGAATATTCATAATACGCAGGTCAAGTTCGAAAATCAGCATGATTGGGCCATTTTTAGGGAATTTATGCTGTTTTTTCACTATTTTCAATATAAATGCAACACTGATAACACAATATAAGAAAAACGGATTGGCCAATTGTAATTATACTCACAGGAGTGGTCAATCTTACTAAAACGCAGGTTGAGTTCGAAAATCAGCATAATCGGGCCATTATTTTAGAAGTTATACTGTTTTTCACATTTCCTCAGATTCAATTATTAGGCATGTTAACAGTCTCATTATTTAACTAATAAGATGCCTAAAAGTGTTTGTTTGATATTTCCTGCATCTTTACAACATTGTTAGTTGATTATGTAAAAAACATGGTAAACTTGTTATCATGTATTGTGTAATAAAGTGTCAAAAATGGAAATAAACTCATATCATTGCAGTTTGTCAGATTCAATCATCCACTATGTTCAGAATCTCAGAATGGAGGAAATTGGACATTTAACACTGTTCTATTGATACTTTTCCCATCTCATCAATTTTCTTAGTTGGTCATATAAAATGGCAGTAAAATGTTTATTTTGTTTTATGTTAAAAAAGTGTTAAAAATGGAAATAAACCCATTTCAGAACAGTGCTGTCTTGTTTACATTTTGGCATTTTCAAGGCGTGACTTTGAAGTTCCATGGGCCTGAAGACCTTTGCTAGTCACATTTTCTGAATATCTGTGAAACAAATATTTTATAATTAAAAATTGATGGTCATTAAGCTGTTAAACATTATGTAATATTGCATCAAAATTTGAAGAAACCCCTATTTTGGGCACTGCTTCCATGATGACCATTTAAGGAAAATCATGTCACTTACTGTTCTCAAACTTACAGGAAAGAAACATGGGACTAAAATACAGCTTCAGTAGGCAATGCAGTCTGTTTGGTATTTTTTTATTTTTTTTTTTTTTGGCAGTTAAACAGTTTTTTGTGAAAATTTAATTTTTCACATATTGGCATTTTCAAGGTGTGACTTTAAAGTTCCATGATCTTGAAGACTTTTGCTTGTCACATTTTCTGAATGTCCATGTTACTAATATTTTATTAATAACATTTGATTGTCATTATGCTGTTAAACATTATGTAATGTTGCATCAAAATTTGAAGAAACCCCTATTTTGGGCACTGCTCCTATGATGACCATTTAAGGGAAATCATGTCACTTACTGTTCTCAAACTTACAGGAAAGAAACATGGGTCTAACATACAGCTTCAATAGGCAATGCAGTCTGTTTGGTAAATTTTTCTGGCAATTTAACAGTTTTTTGTGAAAATTTAATTTTTCACATATTGGCATTTACAAGGTGTGACGTTTAAGTTCCATGATCTTGAAGACTTTTGCTTGTCACATTTTCTGAATGTCCATGTTACTAATATTTTATTAATAACATTTGATTGTCATCATGCTGTTCAACATTATGTAATGTTGCATCAAAATTTGAAGAAACCCCTATTTTGGGCACTGCTCCTATGATGACCATTTAAGGGAAATCATGTCACTTACTGTTCTCAAACTTACAGGAAAGAAACATGGGTCTAACATACAGCTTCAATAGGCAATGCAGTCTGTTTGGTAAATTTTTCTGGCAATTTAACAGTTTTTTGTGAAAATTTAATTTTTCACTTATTTGCATCTTTATTTTCTGTTTTTTTTGTCTGTACATTTGACAGTTTTGCTGCCTTGTTAAATTAGCAACATAAGAAGCATGTGCTATAATTTGAACATGAGATAATAGGCAATATCTTCTCTCAGTTTATGTAGTGGGTATATAGTTACGTCTGTCCCTGTAGGTCCAGAGACGCCGTCTCAAGGTAGAAGAGGTACGCAGCTCCATGCAGGCCAGTAGCAGCAAGAGTCGGGTGTTAGCTGCTCTCACTGAAGCCAAAAAACAAGGCAAGATACCAGGTATCCGTGGCAGACTGGTAAGGAATTCCAACCTGTGGGTGGTGGTCCATTAGGTTCATAGTGGTCCATTATAAGAAATATCTATGACGGCAGTGGAACATGGACAAATTCATAGTAGTCCCAACTTTGTCTACACTGTAAAAACAGTGTTTAGCTCCTAAACACATTTCTAAGCGTCGTAGTAGTTTCAGTAGGATTGTAGTGGTCCATTAGGACCAGACTCTTATTGTGGTTAAGGTAGCCTTGGCTATCAACCTGGGCCCAATTTGTTAAACCATGTTTGGCACTAAGTAGCACTTAGTTATATCTACTTTATGGCCAGTTAATTTTTATATGTTCCATTTAATTTTCCTAAACATTAAATGAAAATGGCCTTCTGTGCCTATGTGGAGTCTTCAAAGAAAAGATAAATATCTGTAAGGTAAAGAAGAGAGAGGGATTGTTTAATATAGAAAAACAGGAACTGATTGGGCATTTAAAGATGCATATGAAGTCATTTTTTTGCCACAAAAAGTCAATCAAATGCCAGCATACAGTTTCAAGTAGAATAACTAAGAGAATTACCAAAAGGCATTGTTTAATTTTCCAAAAAAAAAAAATTATATTTGAACAGATTTTTCTACTAGCATTCTATGCTGTATATCAATAGGACAGAAAGGAGCAGTCTAAAGCTCTTATATGGCTGATCGAGTGATTTATTCAGTTTATCCCTTGGCATGTCAAATTTATTTGAGTCATATAAGAAAGTAGTAGAAGTGGTTTATATATATATACTGACAGTCAGTGAAAATGCATCAGAAAACTTTCTTGTACTTTTTTACCGAGAATCGATTCCAACCATATAAACGAGTACAAATGCAATTGTTTGGTCATAAGAGAGTGGGCTGATCACTATTTCATATTTCACATGAAAACTGTTATTTTCTTAATGTGCCAAAGGAACTTAAAAATATTATTTGATAAATAAATGATGTGTTTTCATTGACTCTGTCAGTATATGTTGCTGGGAATCCACGCTTCACCAATGCTTGGTTCATATGTACCTTTAAATTTCATGATGATCTTGCTCCAAAAAACTTTCACAAATTACACCTTGATTCTCATTTCTTATTTCTCAGTTAGCCTCTGTGGATATAGCATGTTATTGTTAGTGAGTGCAAATGGATTATTACAATGCTCATTGATAATATAATTATTACCACCAGCGTGTACACTGGCGGTACTCATGGTTTAAGTCCCGACCCGTCTCGTACGGCTCCTGCGGCTACGCGTTCTGGCGCCGGATACAAGTCACCGTTACCACTCTTCTCCTAGACCGCAAGGACCGGTGCCCCCATCTCTTGGATTTAGGTCACCTATAATCTCAACTTGAACCCCCTGCTTTTTTTGTCTCAATCGGTGCAATGGCCTGGGCGTGACGCTCGTTGAAATGTATCCTTGTCAAAATTTTGGAAAATTTAATGCAAAATATCTCCCAAACCAAAGGAACAATGGGAAAAATTTATATAGAAGTCTGGCCCAAAGTCATATGTGAAGATTCCAAATATGCCCTTGGATTTGACCTTTATTTCAAGGTCAAATGGGCCGAAATTTTCTAAAAATGGGAATATTTTGCAAAAAAAAAAAATTTTTGTGCCAATTTTCAGAAACTACACAGACCTAAGCTCTCATATTACATTGGGGGGTTACAATTAGGGACTTCTTTCATTTTCTAGAGTTTTGGGTCAATCAGTGCATTTTCACGGGAGAAGCAGCCATTAGAAAATCTAATGGCAAAACTGAAAACTCTCCCTAATTCTCAAACCCTAAATGCTGTAGACCAATGTTTTTGCATTTTGTAGAACTTGTCAAGTGCAATACTGAAGATAGAGTCCTTTTTTTGTTTCGATATGGTTTAGGAATTACGCTATATCAAAAAGTACAATGTCGCAATATTCAGTGGTAAGAATAAAATGTGAAATACTCTCAAATTAGCAGAGATATGCCCATAGTTACTATTGAACTTGAATAGGAAGTCATTTACTGGCTACCTTACTGTGACCTTGAAATTGACCTTTGACCTACTTTTTACCATGAACTTAACTTTGCAAATTTTTCATCCATTATACCTCCAAAAATCAGTTTTGCCTATTGTTTCTATTGATTTGAATAGGAAGTCATATACTTGCAATCTTACTCTGACCTTGAAATTAAACTTTGACCTACTTTTTATTATGAACTGAACGTTGCAACATCTCAGTCCCTTATATCTCCAAAACTAGCAGAGATAGGGCCATAGTTACTATTGAACTCGAATAGGAAGTCACATACTGGCAATCTAAATGTGACCTTGAAATTGACCTTTGACCTACTTTTCAACATGAACTGTCTTTGCAAGATTTTGTTCCTTTATATCTCCAAAACTGGCAGAGATATGCCCATAGTTGCTATTGAACTTGAATAGGAAGTCATAAACTGGCAATCTAACTGCAACCTTGAAATTGACCTTTGACCTACTTTTCACCGTGAACTGAACTTTGTAACTTTTCTGTCTCTGTATCTGCAAAACTGGCAGAGATATGCTCATTGCTACTATTGAACTTGAATGGGAAGTCATATACTGACAATCTGTGACCTTGAAATTTACCTTTGACCTATTTTTTACCATGAACTGAACTTTGCAAGTTTTCTGTCCGTTATGTCTCCAAAACTGGTTGATCAAACCATTTTTACAAAGGCTATGCAGTTCTTTTGGCATATTTTGAGAAGTGGTTGATTGCAATTGGTAAATTTTGTTAATCACAGCACAGGTGGTGGTGGTGGTTGCGCTTACTCCAGCTGGTGGTACAATATCCGGAGGCAGTATCGCCTCTCTGATCCTCTAGTATGATACTGATATATATACTGAAATTGATTACAAAGAATTTGACATTTTGCTTCAGCTAGAGCAAAGACGTGTTTTTGGTCAGCCCTTCCACTGATGTCTGTACTCTTGATTGTAGGGGGACCTGGGCGCCATAGATGAGAAATATGACATTGCTATCTCCACAGCCTGTGGTTCCTTAGACAACGTGGTGGTTGACAGCATCAACACAGCGCAGTGCTGTGTGGAGTTCCTGAAGAAAAACAACATTGGCAGTGCCACCTTCATGGGGCTGGACAAGATGGAGAAATGGAGAGAACATGTTAATAAAAGAATTAAAACGTAAATATTCCAGCTATAACTGTGCAGTATCATTAGTGTTTTATCGTATTGTATTGTTGCTTATCTATATATTCATAAGTATTCTCCTTTATATCCCCATCACACTAGAGGTGAAATGAGCAAGAATGCCGTCGGAAAGACAATTCTTTGTGCGTTCTTGGATATTCCAAGAGCTTTCTAAAAATTCCGAGTGCATTCCAAATATTTTTACCCATTCTTGTGGCCGGCCCGAATGTTTTGCTCATGTTAAAAACTTCCGAAGTGCATTCCAAGAGGAAAATTATCGAATGACATTTGAATAGTATTCGTCTAGTGGGATTTCCACAAAATATGAATAGTAGGGGCATTTTGGGGTAAAAGTTGGGAACCAGGCTTATTGGCATAAATTTGGCATGCTGAATCCGATTAACCCGGTTCCCAAGAGAAATTTTGCGTTTTTAACTGTCTAATTTGCGAAAAAACAAAATGACACAGGTTTCCAATTTTCTGCAATATCTCTGGCGGCCATTTTGTTTTTTTTTTTGCAAATTAGACAGTTAAAAACACTAATTTTTGCTTGGGAACCGGTTTAATTGGATTCAGCATGCCAAATTTATGCCAATAAGCCTGGTCCCCAACTTTTACCCCAAAATGCCCCTTGCTTCTTATGCAGAGCCTTTTTTCAAAAATCCCACTAGGCTATATTCTAACTGCACTAGGACTGCATTCGAAATATTATTAGGGCATTCCGATAGCATTCGAAACATTCTGATTGCGTTCTAGGGAGAACCAAAATGGCAAGACAGCTAGAAAGAGCTGAAATGCAACTCGAATGCATCTCGATGGCTGCTGAAATCCTATTTCAGCCAGCAATCAAACTACACTCGTAGGGCATTCAAAGTGTATTCTAAATATTCTGACAGCATTATCGATATTCCTAGTTTTCCAACTACATTTGAGCTGCATTTGCTTGAATCATTCCAGGCGGATTCAAGCGCATTCCAAGTATTCCAAAGGCATTCTTACAAGAATTTAGGTCAATTTGAAATTTCTTCCCGAATGTAGTACAAATTTTGTAAATTCTTCATTTCGGCTTGTTCTGCTTGATTCCTGCTGATTCGAATAAGTGTGACGGGGGGCTGTAGGCAGTTTTCCCATCAGGCTGTGATTTGGACAACTAAATTAATGCTTCTTATGTCTAGTAGCAAATAATGAAATGTTGCATACCCTTGTTGCAGTATATGATCTCTAATAACCAAGTATCAATTTTGTTCCATTATTTTCACTCTTAGGGACCATTCCCATACCCTATGGTACTAGCAGGAACGATCTATCTCCAAAAGATTGCTTGCTAAATAGCATTTAATTTAAAAAGGATAACAGCTGTTCATTTTGGTCAAAAACTGAATTTTCCTGGGGGTAAACGGCAACTTTCCTACATTTACCAATGGTTAATGAATCCATTTCTATATTCATAGTTAGTTCCTTTTTTTTATATATAAAGTTTGCTCTTTTGTAATAATCTCTTAAGAGTATAGTCATCTATGGAGGTCACGTGGTTCGATGGCAAGCACAGATTTCAGAATAATTGCTATAACTGTCATTTTTTTATGGTAAAATAGAATACATTATATTTCTATGAGTTCTTTACAATGCATTTACTGTGAAATGCAGTTCTCATACGAAGAGTTGTTATCCTTTTATTTGACATGAAAGTTAATTACCCCACTAGCAGCTTCAGACTGGGTTCCCATACCTAGGTGGATCTAACCAGATCCATCCATCTCCAAGGGGTTTCTCATTAAATTGATTTCAGCTTAAGCAGCTTAGATGTCTGGCACACTTATTGGAGCTTCCAAATGATAATTAATTACCCGTAGCAGCTTCAGTAGGTGTGACAGACATCAAAGCCACCCAAGTAAATTGCAGTTTAACAAGAATCCCCTCAGAGATAGATCGATCCACAGTTAGTACGATAGGGTCTGGGAATGGTCCCTTAGTTGGCATGACAGACATTTATGCTGCTTAAACTGAATTCAATTAAGCAAGAATCACCTTGGAGTTAGATATATCCTGCTAGTATGATAGGTTTTTGGGAGCCCAGTCTTAATCATGCCACATATTTATGTTGCATCTCTTTTATTGGCCTGTTTTATTTTAGTCCAGAGAATGTTCCAAGGCTTTTTGATTTGGTGAGAGTGGGAGATGACAGCATCAGGACAGCTTTTTACTTTGCCTTGAGGGACACACTAGTGGCCAGTGACCTGGAGCAAGCCACGCGCATCGCATATGGGAAACAACGCTTTCGTGTGGTTACACTGAAGGGGGATCTCATTGACCAGTCAGGTAATGTGGTCACATTGCAGGGGAATCTTAGTCTGTGTAATGAGCTTCATTGTCTGTCACACTCTTTCATAACTGAATGTAATTGAAAAGTTGGGAAAACTTTGTGGCCCATTATGTTGTTCAGGTTGCTTTGGTAGAGGGCATGCCAGACAATTAAACTGATAACATTGACTAGGCCTAAGCGAGAATCCCCGTTCAGATGCATCGATTCAGCTAAAACAATAACTCCTATTCTGAACATGCCCGAATCAGTCAGGTAATGTAGTTACATTGAAGGGGAACTTCCTGATCAGTCAGCTAATGTAGTTACATTGAAGGGGGGTCTTATTAATCAGTCAGGTAATGTAGTTACATTGAAGGCGGGTCTAATTAAGGTAGTAATTAACAGTAAATTGTCAAAATTTGGGTGTTTTTCTGAATTTGTCAGTATTAGATAGATGAAATATCAACTACATAGCAGCCTATCTTAAAATAATGGAAGTTTACACATAAACCCGTAATTTTAGCCTAATTGCTGATTTACCCCTGTGGTAGCGTGTCTGAATTTTAAAGTAGGTCACACTTGTCCATATATGTGTTTGATTGGCAGCTCCACTGTGCAGCTGTATATTTCCCGTACTAGATTGCTGCTAAGCCTTTCACATTCTGTGAGTAACGTCCCGCTTTCACTTGCCAAACAATACTTTTCATTTTGAATTTATCAGTGAACTTAATTCTGACGATCTATTAAAGCTTTAAAAAGCAGACATATAGATAAGACGTATATGGGCAAAGGCACTCCCCCTAGGTGTCACGTGGTGAAGAAGGCTGACTTCACGACTAACATGGTGGCTGCTGTCAATGCATGGAGGGGGCCTCTGGTTGAAAATGTTCAATAATAATGTTGAAAATGGATGAAAGATATAGTGACAGTTACACAGGCAGTGAGTAGAGGGCTGAACCAGTACAGTCATATGGCAACTGGCTGCGCGTAGGAAGATATTCAGAACGGAGCGCGTGCGCTGAGATGACGTCGCGGTTGAAATTTTGTAAATTTCGCAACCAACGCGGAAATGAAAGAATTGTACTTTATTACCTCTGTTGGTGCTTATGAAAAATTAAGACATGGTAGCAGAGTTTATCACGCGTCTGTAAGTGTGAGATTTACCCAGAATCAAAGTGAAATGAAGGAAATATAACTCGACAAAGTCGGCCAACATGCCGATTATTATCCATAGCAACACCGTAACATTTTGAGATATCTCCTATCACAGAGAGTGTGCACCTTATTCCAGTCGATAGAAGATGACTTTTAATACGCAAAATAAACCTACCAAGTTTCATCAGAATTTATTCTGGCAACTTTTTTTTGCCAGCTGTTGAAGTGCGTTTTTGACCCTATTCCGCTAGATGTCAGCCATATTCTGACGTCATTTTTCCCAATACAGAAGCAAGTGAAGGTCTGCTGACTTTTTCAAATATCGAAAATCAAAGTACTTATCTTTTATTTCAGTAACAAAACTATATTTC